TTCTACTGACTAAAGTGAGTGTAACTTCTTAGAAACACTAAATAGATACTGAGATCATTTAGTTATGTGTACAAGCTGTGCTTAACAAAAATAGACTTTTGACTATGAGCTGTCAAAAAAAACTTTTTTTCACCCACTCAATTATGAATCACATAATCAGGAATTTATTAGAAAGTGCAAGCTGCTCTTTTGCTTAAGACAAAAGTAGATTTTAAAATGAGTGTCAAAAGTCAATTTATTCATTCATTCATTCATTCATTTTTTTCAGCATCATATTTCTAGTCCCTTTATGAATCTGGGGTTGCCACATTGAAATGAACTGCCAACTTATCCAGCATATGCAACGCAACGCATGCCCCTCCAACCGCAACCTATCACTGAGAAACATCCATACACACTCATTCACACACATACACTATGGGCGACAATTTAGCTTGCTCAATTTACCTATACTACATGTCTTTGGACTCGTAGAGTTACCAGAGCACCCGGAGGAAACCCACACGAACACGGGGAGAACATGCAAACTCCACACAGAAATGCCAATTGACCCAGTCGAGGCTCGAACCAGCAACCTTCTTGCTGTGAGACGATCGTGCTACCCACTGCGTCACCGTGACGCTCATCAGAAGTCCAAGAATTTAAAAAAAGGAAAAGGAAAATCTCCTTTCCACCAGCCAAAGCAAAAGTAACTTTTGAGCAAACTGTATTTGCATAAACCTTTAAGCAGACATGGCTATGAGCTGTCATAATTCCAAAATGATTAAAAATAAGTTTCACTTTCAACTCTACTTCTAAACCAACACTAAAACGTTTAGTAAAATCTTTCTTTGTCTCAATAATAAAGTGTTTGAGGTCACTTTGAAAGCTTTAATTAATGTATGCTGTATATATGTAGCAAATTTACTCATTCATTCATTCTTTTTCTGGCTTAGTCCCTTTATTCATTAGGGGTCGCCACAGTGAAATGAACCACCAACTTATTCAGCATGTTTTACACAGGGGATACCTTTCCAGCTGCAACCCAGTACTGGGAAACATCCATACACACTCATTCACACACTGTGGCGAATTTAGTATTCAATTCAACTGCACACATGTCTTTGGACTGTGGGGGAAATCGAAGCACCTGGAGGAAACCCACGCAAATACGAGAACAGGCAAACTCCACACAGAAATGCCAACTGGCCCAGTAAGGACCCGAAACAGCGACCTTTTTACTGTGAGGTGACAGTGCTAACCACTGAGCCTTCTTATGCCTCTATAGTTTCAAAAACAAACAATTCTACATCCATGTATAAAGCCAAATTGTTTATTTCTATAAACAGCAGAACTAATTCCAATAAGCTGACCCACGTATGCTCTTCGCAATGGGAAAAAGGTGTACAGTTTCACTCAGCAAGCTCAAAGGCAAAGGAGACAGAAGAGAGAGAGATTTTTATAAACATACTCATAACCTAAATCCATTCCGAGCCGTATACAAATGAACTGGCGCGGATCCAACTCATGGAAACAGACATGGATACGAGCAGACAACTGCATTTGACTGTCACCTGACAAAAGCATCCGGCTGCGGGGAAACACAGATGAGCAACAGCCCGCAACTGTTCAGTCTACTGAATGAGAAGCAGCCGTGTGTCATAGACGTCATCTCTAGAGTGTATTAGTGATACTGAAAGCGTCATAGTATTGGGTGAGCTTGAATTAAAGTCAGTATGGATCAATGTCAAGCGTTGTTATCATTACAAGTGGTGAAATGGCAAAAAGAAAAATGAATGGAGAAGGTTAAAGAGATTCAACCCCCCCAAAAAAGTTTTGCTTTTAAATTTACTCAAATTTTCAGATTTATAGCACAAACTGTGGTGGCTGATAATTCATACAATGTAAATCAATTGGCCACTGCCACTTTGAGAATCAAAAAAAAAACAAAAAACATTCAGGCAGGATAAAGTTATTAACTGTGGCTCCTGAGGTCTTAAGAAGTGAAATGATTGATCTGTGGAGGAAACTAACTTTATTTACTAAATTAATTGAATTTTATATGCTATAATTAATGTAAATGAACAAATGCAGGGTTCCACACAATAGATTTGTGTTGGGACCAGATGAATGTATTAAGTTTATATATTAGATTTTCCAAGTTTAAATGTATTGAAGTTAAAAAAATCAAATTGTCTCGAATTGTTGTTTCAGCTCATTTTAAATAAGTAGTTTCAACAAACAGTCAACGTTTATTTACTTATTTATTTTGAGTGTAAGACAGTCAGAAGCCATGGGTTCTGTTTGTTTTCTCTCAACAGTGTCATAATAAGCTTTATTTCAAGCTACCTATTTTTATGCACATACTGACATGGGATGTATGGTATCATTTATAATTTTGCACGCAAATTGAATTCACAACTTGTAGCAGTTGTCTACATTGACAGGTTATGAATCAGCAAGGACCACAGTTTCAGCTAAAAATCCACTTTACTGTTCAACTTAAAGGAACACTATTTTTATTTTTATTATTATTTAATTTTGCAACTCTAATAGCGTTAAACTGTTGAGTTGTATCAGTTTTGATTCAATTCAGCTGATCTCTGGGTCTGGCGGGAGCACTTTTAGCTTAGCTTAGCATAGATCATTGAATCAGCAATTTTTTTTAAATCACGTAGCACAGTAGTGTTTACACAAGCTATATTTACCGATCGCGGATCAATAAGTGACGGCACAACATTCACAGAGCTGTGAGGCTGGTGTCTAGCTGATGAAAGTAAATCCATATGATGGCGAGAATGACTTTTTCTTCTTCTATCTTTTGTATGATGGTCGACAACAAACTTTTTGTTGCGTTACTGCCACCTCTTGCTCTGGTCTCAGGTTAACGCTAGAAACTAGCTTGAATGAAAGATGATTGATGGAGAGGAGTTATATATATACAGTTTACTGTAGTAAAGGCTAAAGTATACTATGGTAATTACTATTAGTTCATGATAGTTACTAATGATACTACTTTATGTATTGCAATTCATTAATGAAAAGTTGTAAATATGTATACAATATAATGCTTATTCCTATATACTTTAATTTGTTTCTGTTTGGTACAGCATATAATTTTCAGTAAATAATTGAACTAAACAATTCTGCCTCATGTTTCATTGACAGTTGTATTTATCACTAAGATATGATTCACTTGGGTTTAAGTTGCTTTGATTAAAAAATGAAATTTGCAAAATTAGCTTAGATGTATTTTTTTTTTTATTGCAATAAAAAATGGCTTAGATGTAGCTAAGCTACTTTTGCCAAGTAGCTTTTAGCTTTCTACATTCCCCAGAGGGAAGCTTTTAGTGTAGCTAAACTTAAAATGTATTTGTGTTGTTAATAGCTTAGCTCACTACATTTTTCAAGTAGCTTGCCCAACATTCCCATTAGCATATCTTTCAAAAATGGCCAAAGAGTGTTGAAAACTTTTCTATTTAAAGCTTGACACTTATGCTCACCAAAGGCTGCCATTTTAAGGTAAAAAATACACTGTAATACATTTCCAGAGTTTCACAACTTACTGTAACTTTTTACAGTAAATTACATTAGTGTCACTTTACAGGATTTAACTTAAATTTTACGTATTCTGAATTTTATGGTGAAATTATGGCTAGCATCATGATTACAGCAAATGAATGTAAATCGGCTATATTTGTGCACGTTAGTTAGAGGAATTCAAACACTATTCATATTTTATTCAACATAGAAATTAATACACATTAACTTTTATACTAGTACAGGAAATTTTTTATATATTTAAAAATATTTTACAGAAAATATTGTTATTATGAAGTACTTCATAGTAATTTACTGTGAATATACATACAGTCATTTACTGTGAAAGTAATGCCATTATCAGCCAGTCATTTACTGTAAATGTAAGGTCAAATGTTTTACAGTGTATGTATTAAAAAAGCAATGTAGTGAAACATTATGATAGTTTAACAGTCTCTAAAAAAGTATTTACTGTAGCTCAATCTGTTTCAAAGTTACTCTGGGAATATATTATGTTGCTTTTCCTTCACCACATGTATGTTCCAAGTGGTTCCCTAGTATATTATAAAAGTGCAAAACACAATAATTCAAGAAGTCTATACTATTCTATTAATGGTGTAATGATCAAGGAACTTTTTTGCAGTACAATGGCTGCAGCAGGCGCAATGATATTACATCGAATCTGAAACTTCCATTGATATAACCAAATGAGATAAAGAAACAAGGAAGATAAAAGATAAATAAAAACCCTAACCCTAACCCACATCTGATAAATAAGCATATATTCATTTTGATGTTTATACCTTTAAATACTGGGATGTTTTGGAGGAAGTGTGTATCCAAGTCACATTTTTTTGGAAACTTCACCCTAACCTCTGTCATGGGACACAGTGACCTCCCGGTTACCTCCTCTCCATCACTGCACCGTGATCAAAATCTGTCTAGCAAGGAAAACTGCAGCAATCAAGCAGATGCATCTCCTAACATGTTTTATTAATATTCATATTAAAGATTCACATACAGCCTGCTCCCAGTTGCCGTCTGCGGTGCACACGTAACTAATGCTTGCACATCTGCGAAAGAAAAAAAAACAGCTTACAGATGTCTAATATTTCAAGACAATATTATTATTTTTTTATTTTACTGCATTTTTGTTGTATTTTATGGATTTACTCATAGCGTCTATAACAATATCTGTTTATTGATATTAGAAATAGTGTGTATATTTATTATATTTTAATAATTTCTTAGTAACAGAGCAGGTGCAAATGACAAAATATATATTTTAAAATGTCAACAGTAAAAAAAATAAATAAATTTGTAGTGATTGATTTTGAACAAACATTAACAATATATGTTTAATAAAACTAAAATTATCAACCAAAATAGTAATATCATTGCACTTCTAATAACTAATAATCATTATTATTATTATACATTTTTGCTTTCCTCATTGTACATTCTGATCTTTTTGTCAACAGGAGGATGTTTCCTTTCCTCAGCTTTAACATCACCTCTCTGGATCCCTCGGCTCATTATAACATATACGTGGATGTGGTTCTGGCCGACCAGCATCACTGGAGGTACCAGGGAGGAAAATGGGTCCAATGCGGCAAAGCGGAAGGCAACATGCCAGGTGACCACTATCTGCATTTATATTCTCTGTGTTTTGGTTTCAGAGTATAACTGTTTTTGTGAGCAGAGCAAACAACATCTTAAGTCTTTTGAAGCTAAAATTTGCATGACACATTCTGATACCACTGTATGCCACAATCAGAGGAACTTGTGCATGTTGGCCACCACAACTCCTCTGCACTGCTTCTCAGTGCATCAGGCACTGAGCTCTTAAAAGGTGCCCTAAAGAAAATATGGGTATACCTATAATCCAATAACAAGAGTTCTGTAAATGGAAATGGCCATCATTGTTTTCTCATTCTCGTGTAAATTTTGCAAAACCACTGTGAAAATTGTATGTTTTGTTAATTTTTATGTTTATAGTGAAATATACTAGATATGTTTGTAATTTGAGGTAACACACATGTAGAGTTTTTTGCTTAATGCAAGTTTAAGCATTCTGCAAACATTACAAAGTACTGGCTGTGGAGAAAGAAGATGCAGGTATTTAAATTGCCCGCCTGCTCCAGGGAAATATAATTAAATTTACCAGGTATGTCAACGCAATCTCATGGCAATTTGTAACTTTTTGATTTTGTGGCTAATTCATATGAATTCGTACAATCTAATTCATACAATTTAATACGATTTGCTCATTACCCAATGACGATTAGGGTTAGGGGTGGGGTTGGGTCCCACAACTCCTTTTTAAAATCGTACATTTTCATAGGACTGAACTCGTACCAATTAGCCACTAAACTGACAAAACGTAAAATACTTGCGTTTTCTCGTGAGATCAGGCTGGATATGTTTGTAATTTAAGGTAATACACATGTAAAGTTTTGTGTTTAATGCATGTTTAGACATTGAGTCTTATCACTCAGCTCTTTCTGTGATTTCTCTGGAGTGAAATTATTTAGTATACTTTAATAAATCCTGGCTGTGTTTACATTTACATTATAGCTCCTAAATACAACTTAAACACATCTCGGTCTCTTTTGTCGAGACTAATTTTAGGTTACTCTGTCTAATGGGTTTTTATTATAGCTCAATCACTCCATGATAAAATAAACCTCTGCACCAAGGTAAGAAGACCTGACAGGGTATCTACTCTACTGTTAACTAAAATATATATTTTTGACAAATGAAGTATGATCATTTTGCATGTTTATTTTAAGAATAAATCATGATGTGTATGACTGTGTGAGAGAGCAGAGCTCATATTCATGACCATTCCAAATATGGTCAATAATGACCTTTTGATTCTAGGGGCATTGGTTTATGGGGTTATAAATGAGCAAATAAATTGTTTCTGGAAATTTTTTTAACTTAACTAAGCCACATACCTAGTATGTCGATATCAGAGAATAATTTAACTTGTTGATTCAATGCAGTATATGGCATCTGACTCAAGTTCAATTTAAAAAGTTCAGACAATTAGTAAATACTTATGCCTTGTCTAGTGTAGTCTTTCATCACCTGAACTCAAAACATGATTATTAAGTAATTATAAAACATAAAAAAAATATGCTAATAAAAATATAGAATAAACATATAAGCAAAAGTAAACACTAGCATTAAAAATGTGGAGGTTGGTAAGATATTTTTAAATGAATTGATTTTTATTGATACAACAATGATACATCAAATTAGTCAAAAGTTACAGCTGAGCATTTATGGAAAAAAAAAATCACTAAAAATAATACGAAGCAAATATATAAGACAATTTTTAATGTTTTTTTTAAGGCCCATTTGACATTTTAAGAAAAAAAAATTGCCTTTAAAAAAAATTACTATTTTGGTTATTGTTCTGCAACAAATGCTGCAGGTCCATTGATAGCAAGTTTAGCAACAGAAAAAAATGCTCAGCTCTGGGAAAAAACACTTTGGTAGGCATGGACCCTTAATATGTTAACTGAAATATGTTGGAACGTACACTGTAAACAAACAAAACAAAAACAATTTCACAGTAAAATGCTGGAACATGTTATGCTTCATGAATTGAACTTACAATAACAGATCATGTTATTATTATAACCTACAGAGTTCTTAAATGTGTTTTGCACTTTTATTATATTCTGGCAACCACTTGAAACACACACGTGGTGAAGAGCAAACCACATAATACATTTCCCAACTAACTTTCCCACAGATTGAGCTATAGTAAATAGGCTTACACAGATTTATGCTTTAAATCTTAAAATGGCAGCCTTGATAAGCATTTAAAAAATTCTTATTGGTTTCATTTGAAAAAATAAATAAGTAGTTCTTTTAAAACTAACTATACTCAAAACTTACCAACATGTCTTTATTGATGCTGTAAATTTTAATTTGATGAGAATGGAGCAGTGTGATGCTTTAAAAAAAAATTTAAATAACGATGAACAAGTATTAGAACAAGCATTAAAGATTGTTCCCATGTGTTTTATGGTGGTAAATAATGCGTTTTTTTTACGAAATGTGGTCTATCATTTAATAATCTTTACCTTGACCATATTTACACTGTCTGACAAAAGTCATCAAACCCAGTTCTAAGACCAAGAATAACTTGACTTCTAGTTGATCATTTGGAAAAGCGGCAGAAGGTAGATCTTTCAGATGAATCATCTGTTGAACTGCATCCCAATAATCACAAATACAGCAGAAGCCCTATTAGAACCAGCATGGACCCAAGATTCTCACAGAATCACAATACCTCCAAGCTCATGGGAGTCATAAAAAATAATTATTATTTTTTCCATGCACTGCACCGTGACTTTATACTCTATACTGTAGATTATTTCTGTTAAGTGACAAGGCTTTTTTTTTTAGCAAAGTCAGACCTTACTGTCCTAATTAAATAGTTAAAAATCAAGGTATGATCATATTTTATGTTGGTAAAATAAGTGTATTCTAGAGGCCTTAGCCTTTCATATAAGCCCCTTCTGATAATAAATGATCAGTTATTATAAAACTTGGATAGGCAAAGAGACTTTTGTTAGTGTACATGATTCTCACACAGAAAATGCAAAAAATCTAATGCAAAAAATTACATAGAAATCTGACAAAATACAACCCATGCAATGTATTCTTTGAGGTACAGTAAATGCATATGATTACTGTGCTAATTTGACAAATGTATTTTGGTTGATGGTTTGGTGATATTTAACTTCAAGGAACAAAGACATTTTTGGGGGATTTTACTACTTTGTTCAATTTCATCAATCTTGAAATGTTAAAACTTTTCTGTGCAAGTCAGAGTGTACTGCAGCCCTAACAGGACTTCATTAACTTCATTAACTTTGTCGCGCACAAAGACAAATAGTCAAGGTCAGGATTTTAATTTTAAAATATTCAATTTGGGGTTTTTCTTTTATAAAACTCTTTTATAATGTATATCCCTTCAACAATTGTAAATATGAAACATGACACATGAAAAAGGGACTTTCTTCATTAAAGAAATTTTAATTTAAAGATTTTTAGCTGCAACCAAGTTGCTTGATGATATGAAAAATTCAAGTCAGTGGTTTCTTACTTTAGGAGTAAAATGAAACAAACATGCAAAAAGAATTAAAGAACTTTAAATGCACAAAGTGGAGGAATAAAAAAAGGCCCAACGCCAACACAAACATTTAACTGAATTTTCACAGGCAGACAGAAAGGAAGTATGCGTGAGAGAAAGAGAGATCATGTGCTCAAGTAAATGACACTGGCATATCTAAAAGCTCATAGTAACATGTTTGCTACATCTTCGCAATTATTTTTGAGCATATATTTACAAGTTAAAGCACATCTAATAAATGTTAATAAAAAATAGATTAAACAGTAGAATAAACATCAATAAAAATATACACTAACATTTAAAATTTGAAGGTTGGTAAGATATTTTTTAATGAATTGATCTTTATTCAGGAATGATGCATTAAATTGATCAAAAGGGAAAGTTGCTATGTCCACAATTTTTCAAAATATATATTGTAAATAAAACAAAATAAGATATATAAACAAAATAAAATGGTTACTTTTAACTCTCCATTTATAAAAAGAATACTAAGTATAACACTAAAGTAAATATATAAAATGATTTCAAGGATTATTTGACATCTATTAGTCCTCAAGAACACACAGATGAATGAAGGCAACTGTTACCGAGTTACTACTACTAATGTTTGAGGGAAGAGCAATTATTTTGAAACGTGATCAAACTGATTGGAACTACGCATGCATTAAATGATTTTATTGCACACCATCCAGCTAATCAGAATCAAGAATTTCAACAGAACGTGGAATAAAGACATATATATTTCAACTGCATTTAGTACATACATATTAATGCAATTGTTTTTTTTTTTTTTTTTTTTTTTGCAGGAAACCGAATGTATATGCACCCAGACTCTCCCAACACTGGCACTCACTGGATGAGACAGGAAGTTTCCTTTGGCAAACTGAAGCTTACAAATAACAAAGGCAGCTCCAACAACGTAGCACAGGTAAAATGATAATGAACTACAGTATAATACAGTCAAACACAGAAAACCCTCAGTAACCCTATGTACCAATTAATGATAATTACATTGGTTGGAATACAGATGATCGTGTTGCAGTCGCTCCATAAATACCAACCACGTCTTCACATCGTGGAGGTGAAGGAGGATGGAACAGAGGATCCTTTCCTGACCTCTAAAACGCAGACGTTTGTCTTCCCTGAGACTCAATTCATTGCCGTCACGGCCTACCAGAATGCAGACGTAAGACACAGCATTTACATGCATCATACTGTGGGTTATTTTCTCATTAATAAAAGTGCAACTGCCACATAACGGCACTGCTTACTGCAAACAAAGAGAGAGATGTCATCAGTGTGGGATGATCTAGAAAAGTGAGAGTTGTGTTATGTGTGTGCTTCGAGACGTGATGTTGTTTGTGTGCTGGAGATGTTAACTGACTGTAGGAAGGAGTTGGAGTGTAGTTCATGAATTATTTTATAATGACAGTGATCTATCAGTCTCCCTGTGCCCAATTGGCCTTTCTCTAACCCCCTTCTCTCTCCCTCTCTCTCTCTGCCCTTTCTCCAACCCCTTCCTCTGCCATTTCACAGATCACTCAGCTGAAAATAGATCATAACCCTTTTGCTAAAGGTTTCCGGGACAATTATGACACGTAAGTAAGCCTGGAGTAAATGAAATGCAGAAAATGGGTCTCTGTGGGCCACTGCTTCTGATTTAAAACTGTTCATCTGTCAATATTTCTATCTATCTGTCTGTTTGTTTCTTCATCAGACTATTTGTCGATAATCCATCTGTTATCTGTCTGTCAGTTTATTCACCCATCCATCTATATGTCAATCTATCCATCCATCTGTATGCATATTTGTGTCCATCCGACCTTCTATATCTGCCCATCTGTCTTTTTTAGCATTGATCAATCTCTCCTTCAATCAGTCTATCCCTCCATTTCTTAGTCCTTTCATCCATCCATAAATCTATCCAGTTGTACATGTGACTGTCAAGTCTATCTATCCATCTCACATTGTAACCTTCCATTTGTCAATCAATCAATCAATCCATCAATCAAATCAATCAATTAATCAATCAGTCAGTCTGTCTGTCTGTCTGTCTGTCTGTCTGTCTGTCTGTCTGTCTATCTATCTATCTATCTATCTATCTATCACAGTTTATTCACCCATTCATCCATCCATCTTTATGCATATTTGTGTCCATCCAACCATCTATGTCAGTATCCATCCCATCCATCTCACATTGTATCCTTCTATAGGTCAATCCATCGTCTATCTATCCATCTATCCACCCATCTATCTATCTATCTATCTATCTATCTATCTATCTATCTATCTATCTATCTATCTATCTATCTATCTATCTATCTATCTATCTATCTATCTAAGTTTATTCACCCATCCAGCCATCCATCTTTATGCATATTTGTGTCCATCCAACCATCTATGTCTGTATCCATCCCATCCATCCCACGTTGTATCCCTCTATCGGTCAATCCATCATCAATCTATCCATCCATCCATCCGTCAGGTTACTCACCCATTCATCCATGTCAATCTATCCATCCATGCATCTGTATGCATATTTGTGTCCATCTAACCTTCTATATCTGTACATGTCTTTTTATGCACTGATCCACCACTCCAATCAGTCTATGCCTCCATTTCTTAGCCTACCCCTTCCATCTAAGTCTATCCCTAGATCCATCAGTCCATCCATTCATCCATAAATCTATTCAGCTGTCTATCCATCAGTCAAGTCTATCCATCCATCCAGCCATCAGTCTATCCCATCCATCTCATTATATGCTTCCATCAGTCAATCAGTCTATCCATCCATCTGTCTATCCATCCAACCATCTATCTATCTACCTATTGATCAGTCCATCTATCCATCAGTTTATTCACTTATTCACCCATCTGTCAATCTATCCATCCTTCTGTATGCATATTTGTGTTCATCAAACCTTCTATATCTGTATTTTCATGCATTAATCCATCTCTCCATCAATCACTCTATCCATCTATTTCTTAGTTTATCCCTTCCATCTAAGTTGCTACATCCATCAGTCTATCCATCCATCCATAAACATATCCAGCTGTCCATCCATCAAGTCTATCCATTCATCCATCTATCAGTCTTTCTCATCCATCTCTCAATGTAACCTTCCATCGGTCAATCCATCATCCATTTGTACATCCATCTATTAGATCTATCTGTCTGTCTGCCTATCCATCCATCAGTCCATCTATCAATCTATATGACAGTCTATCCATCCATCTGTGTGTATATTAGTGTTCATCCAAACTGCTGTCTGTACATCGTTCTTTATGCATTGACCCAGCTCTCCATTAATCAGTCTATCCCTACATCTATCAGTCTATGCATCCTTCCATAAATCTATCCAGCTGTCCATCTATCCATCCAACCATGTATCTATCAGTCTATCACATCCATCTCTCATTGTATCCTTCCTTCGGTCAATCCATCATCAATGCTATCTATCTATCTATCTATCTCTCAATCCATCTATGCATCAATCTACTGTATATTGCAGACCGTGACAGTCACTTTGGAACATTTCTCAAATCAATAATGTTTAAACCAGTGCATTTGAAGTGGATTTCTTAAAACATTTAGCACATACAGCACCACACAATGAATTGAGTCTGAAACCTTCTCAAAATTCTTAGTATAGTGCTTAACAGGTAATATGTCAATATCAGTGACATCAGAAAGGGGATTGGGTTTCATTATTCACAAAGAGACAAGATCATTTCGAGCTTAAAGTTTTGAAATAATCTGAGAAATGTAGCAAAGCTAAACTGTTGCGATGTCCGCCTCAATGTGAACAGCTACATACATTTTCAAGTTAATAGTTGTACGAATACGAGTTTCAAAGCATTCAATTCAATTTCCTTGCATTCAGATTTTAAATTCTGTTTCTTTCCTTCTTGCTTCAAATTCCATTAAAGTTCAGTAACATCAACATTTCATAGACGGTTTTAAAATTAACCTTTAACTCTTTCCTCTTCTAGGCTGTACGCACCTCCTGACCCGGACCGCCTCACACCTTCCCCAACCGAGAGCCAGCAGCTTCTTTCAGGCAGCTGTTACCCTCACCAACCATACCTCTCTGATCAATACATGAGCCCCCTTCCTCAAAGTCGCTTCTACAGCCGAGAGCCAGTCAGCATGACCCAACCTTGCCCCAAAGACCCCACTTCAAGTCCTCACAGCCGCTGGTACCTGTCCAGCCAACAAGCGGTGCCACCAAACCGCCTTGACTTCAGCGCTTACGAGACCGAATACACTTCCAACAGCCTCTACAAGCCCTTCCCACTTCAGTCATCCCCTCATCACCCTTTGAGCTACTACTCCGAGAATCCCTTCACCTCCGGGGCGGTTTCCAGTGCAAATCCAGGAGCATGGACAGCCTCAGGACGGCCCTCGCCCCAATACCTCAACCACCCACACCACAGCAAACCCACATCCAGTCTCAGCTGGTTCCGAGCAGTCCCATCCCCCGCTGCATCTTCCTCTCCCACAGCCACAAACTCACGCTTTCACGCCTCGCCGTCGCTCCTAGAGCCACAACGTCAGCCACTTCTCCAGGACAAGTCCAAAGAGTCCACGGAGGACACCTGGATTGAAGCGCCCTCGGTTAAATCGGTGGACTCTGCCGACTCTGGTTTGTTTGAGGGAGGTGAGAGCAAGAAGAGGCGTGTGTCACCTTACACGTCCAGCACAGAAAATTCCCCACCCAACCGCAGTGCTGAAACTTGCGAAAAGGACAATTGCAGTGACGCGGGCTACTATGGCTTCTACACCCACTGAGTCTGCGCTCCTGCTCGTCTTCCACCCACCGTCTGTCTACACGACCCGAGACCCAGGGATCAAGCTCTCTGTGATAGTAGCCACAGCGTCAGGCGGCCCCTCTCTGTGTTTTGTGTTCCCCGTGTTAGATGTTTGGGGGTCATGTGGAGGTGTTCTGAAGGTCACGGTCACACAAAAGATGAAGACGATGTGACTGCAATGAGACACTGGCCTGGAGACACGCAGACAGACAGACCTGTGTGACTTTAGCAGATGAAGACTTCACAGCACACCTGCTGACACTCCCCCAAAGGAACTGTCTCTGTCCTCCTCATCAGCCACAGACATAAAAAAAAAACACCCACCCGCCACTAACATGCTCCAACAAACAATCACCTGTATTTGCCACATTCTTAGTGCTCCTTAAAAAAAAAAGTGAAGGGGAAGTTCAACCGGTCTTCATTTACTCATTTAAAATAAAAGGCTTCAAGTTGCCAGGATATACAATTAATGCAGTTTCTAAAACTGATGAGAAACAGACTTGAAATCTAAAGCACATCTGCTAATCACCAATTGAGTATTAAGTGTACATCAGTTCAATCGGTTTCTCATGCAAAGCTATTAAATAGCTTCAAAAATACGGCCCATAAGTCTGACTTACACAACATGTGATGCCGTAGATCTGCAAACATTCAAATCAATCAACCATAGTTATAGTAGCTCAAAACACTTCTTTCTGTAATAGCTTTTTCCTTGATACAATACTTATTGCATAAGACAAACTCATTTGAAACGCATAACAATTTAGCACTGTTCACATGTAATACATCTGAATGTGAGCCTACATTAGAGCACACCATTTGTGTGTCTAGCCAATACCAAAATGCACCCCTACAGGGAGCACAAATCAATAAGCACATTAAAGCCAAGCCACTCAGACAACACATGCTAGAAATAAAATAGCCATGATGTCTAACAGACCATGTATCTATGCACCAGCTGGGATTCCATCTTTTAATAGATAGACATAATATGTTTGATAGAATGCATGCCAAATTACGGTGTGTGTGTGTGTAGCATATGTAAGTACACCCCTCACAAATCCATCTTTTAATTCATAGTCAAATCTGGAGCTTATCTAACAAAATAACTTGTGATAATGGTGCAAAACCTAGTACACCCAAATTTATGTTATAGAAAAATATTTATTAAAAATTGTCTGACGAAAAAAAACAAGATCAAAAGAAACGAAATTTATTTGACAATATTAATGAATTTAACTGTATTACCTTTCAATTTCTAAATATGTTTGGTGAATAAAATATAACTTATTAATATACCCATTTAATATGTTTTGTTTAAATGCACCAAAATACATTGAATATTTCTATCCATTTCTCAGTGAATATGGGCATTAGGGTGTAATCAATTATGCTGAGCACTATATATATATATATATATATATATATATATATATATATACACATACATACATACATACATACATATATATACATATATATATATATATATATATATATATATATATATATATATATATATATATATATATATATATATATATATATACATACATACATATATACATATACACACACACACACACACACACACACACACACACACACACACACACATACATACATACATGCATGCATACATACATGTACATATACATACACACACACACACACATACATGCATATACATACACACACACTCTCTGTTTTTACATTATAACAAGGCACTTTTTACATTTCTATTAAAAGAACCCTGCTAAAAATACTGAAATAACAAAAATAAAAATTATATCTATCATAAATAAATATAAGTCTTCAACATTCAAAAATCAACATTCTTAAGACTGTACACACCTAATCATTTGAACTGAAATAAAAGTTGGTCCAAAGTTAGTCCACAAACTATTTCCCTTCTCGTACTGCCAACTTGTGTGAAGCAGATTGCTTTAGACAGGGCCTTGTAATCCTCAGGTTTGATTTAGTTAAAGTCATAGAGTTGGGATAAACGAACCAGTGTCAATCTGATGACCTGTAACAGGACATACTTAAACCAACAGCATCGTGTCTTGGGGCGTCGAGCGTGATGGTATGCAGATAGACAGGGTGGAAAAATGGACACCTGGCAGTGGCTTCAGACTGACTATACATCATCTTTATTCAAACAAGAGTAACATGCAGACAAGCCCCCACACACACACACACACACACACACACAGACGTCAGTGACAGAGAAAGAATGAGCCTTCCGTCTAAGCTTATCAGGCACCGCTGGCATTCAAAGGTGAGAATGACCTCAGACAGATAAAGTGGGTGACAAGATGCCACCGCAAAAAAAGTCTTCTGGAGCACACCGGAAACCTTCGTTTCACACTCTCACAAAATACGCACAGATATGCCGTGTGTGCTAATAAAAAAAAAGCCACCCGTGTTGCTTGTAAAATAACATTTAAAATTGCCATTGATGTGTTTATAGACGTTTCCGAGAAATTGTAACGTGCTGCAAAAACCAACAGGGTATTAATATTTTTCAAAAGTCAAGAGAACTGACTCTAACTCTGTCTTTCATAGATGTATTTTGAAAAAAAGACCAGTGACTGCACTGTTATTTTTAAAATACTATTACTGGACAGGAAAGCCATTTTCAGATGCAACTCAGATCATGCAATATTTCAAATGAGAAATGAGAGCAACTATATTATTTGAAAGCCACGATATTATTTAACTGACAATACACATTACAAATTTGTATTTTAAAGTGCAATTAAATTGTTTCCATGTTAATTTAAAAAATGTGTAACTAATAATCCTTTTTTACACTGAAATTTAATTTGAAATAAAAAAACAGTAGTCTTTTGCTGTCATTTGAACAAACAGTTTGTGTTTGACTGACCCCTGGTGGACATTATTCTCCTAATATCTATGAGAGCTTAAATAGCAGGTCTTTTAGAGAATCCATTTAGGTTTAGTTCTCTCTGGTACCAGAACGGCCTATTTTGAGTCAAAAGCTACAATTTAAAAAATAAAGGAGGTGCTCTGTAGTGAGATACCTCAGCCAGCACACTGAGCCTCAAACACAGCTGTCGAAATACTGTATATATATATATATATATATAATAATAAATGTTTTTGATGCGATGGAATAAAGTCTGAAGTATAATGCATTCATTTTTTTGTAGTCTTTAATGTTGTACATTTTATTTGTTTTAATCAGCCATGCAAGTCATGACTGGAAAGTTTATTAATTACACATTTACACTGATTGTTTTCAAGCAAACCTACACAAAATGGTCATTTATGATATCACATTTCATATAGGACAAAAACTGAGCTTAAACGCCAATAAATATTATCTAAACTCAAAATATGTTTCATTTAAAAAAAAATAAGGAGAGGATGCAGAATCTAAGAGTGACCGAGGACACATTTCAGCAGCCTCCTTCAGTACAAGTCGATGAGGGCCCAAAATTAGAGTTAATCCATTTACTGCTAAATCCTGCTCAGGTTGAGCCACGGCATTGCACGAGAAATAGCAGTCCTTTTATAAACGGGTATGTTAACAGGAAGAAGAAAGTAGTTAAGGAGAACTCTGAATATTATATATACCCGAATTATCCAGTATCCATTGGTGCATAAGTACTTCAATCAACTGTAAATGTAATGTAAGATCATCCATAGAAATGTTCAAAAATATCTCCACAACATCCTCCATTACCTTTTGCCTTCTATTTTATCCAAATTGAAAATCATGGTCAAACCATCACCAAGTTTCTGTATCCTCGATCACGAAATAAATAGAAATGTTCAAAATGCATCCCTCCCCGTTGCCGTTTTCGATAAAAGCATCATCCTCGCACAATGGATTTGGTTCAATACAAAAAAAACCCTTGGCAATTCATCTTTGCTTCCAAAGTTCCCAATGTTTGTATAGTCTTTATGTGCAAACTTGACTTATCACAGGGATCTAGTGTCCACAATGTTGCTGTGATCAACCTTCACCATAACTCCAGATTATTAACATTGGCAAATCCAGGATTCTCTCTAATCTTCCAGTATGTCCCATTAGTCAGCCAAACTTCCCTTCCAGCAGCATCCAAAGATTTCCTGTAAAATGAGGAGGGTGAATTTTAGCCTTTCAGCTCTTATAGCACTCAATTCATCAGTTAGAGATGTTGTTATTAACTCACCTGAAGAAGCGAGGGATGTGCTCCTCTCCTCTCTTAGCCATTATTTTCCTCCTTTCTCTTTGCTTTTCCTCCACCTCATCCTTCTTTTTATCAGTCTCCTCTACTTTCCCCTCTTCGAGTAACCTAACAAGAAAGAGGACGATAATAAAAGTGATTCTTTCATGCTTTTTGCTTGTTCAAATTTCTTTTTTGTTCCAATTTGTGCACGAAAAACTGACTAAAGGGACTTATTCTCTATATATATCACTATAAGCACTGTTTCTCATTTAGAGTTATGAAATTTCTTTTAGAAAATGTATGTCAAAATAACCTACAAATGAAATAACTCTTAATAATAAAAGGTCTGATTGAGTTGTGTTAGTAATGTGTTGTTGCTGATTTCACAGATTTAATATACTGATGCACATGCAATTTCTTCATCAATTATATGAACTTCTGCATAGTAACGGAGCAAAAGCTGTAAAAGCTTCTTCTTGAGGAAGGCGGGAATTGCAGTTAATTAGCATTTAAAGAGACACATACAAAATAAAGTGTATTATGGATGTATTTTATCTCAAACTACACTAACATCTTGTAGCACACATGAGACTTGTAAACCGGGTATATTACATGTCCTTTAAAACAGAAGACTTGTTATATTTCAATAAAACCAAAACACTATTCTGTTATAGTAATCAATCATCATCATCAGGCCTACAGGTTGATGTCTGTAAGGATAGGAGTGTCACCTTTGGTCAGGGCGCAGGCGTGTGTCTGTAGGGGGCAGCAGGGGCTTGAGTTCAGGCACCAGCTCATTCATTTCCATTGCAAAGCTTGAGAAGCCATAGTAGAGCAAGTAGTTCTTTGGCTGTGGATCTGTAAGGAAAAACAGATATTCTAACAACATCCGCAAACAAAAAGAGATATCTTAGGTATCTATATCTGTTTGACAAAATAACCACAGAAAAAAAGACTTTGTCTTTATATCCTGATCTTGTGGTGAGTTTTTGCATAGCGTTAACCAAAAATCTAATAATTTTGTTTTAACAAAAGCTTTTATTCGAAAATAGAATTCCATTTATTTGTAGAATGATACATTTTTTGAAGGTCCTGTTCTAATTCGAAATTATTTGTATTAAAGATAATTGGGTTGAAACAGCAGTTCATGGTGGCTTTAAAAGAAGAGTTTGGACCTGACGAATCATTGCTTTCTAAAACTTATTTTTCAACATCAACAACAAAATAAAAACTATCGATCAGCAAAGTGTCATTAATAAGAAGACTTTTTACCTTTAATTCAATAGGTGCTCCCAAATCGTATACTTATGCAATTTATGCCAAGTTATCTATTTTGTAGGATAAATAGTAAATGTGCAAAAGAGCATAAGTAGTGCATTCACAATAAAATATTCTGTTTATTCTCAAAAGTTTACTTTAAACACCCAGATGATTTTACTCATTCGACCGCCAAACAGAAGTGTGGAATGTTGGCTAGTTCATGCATTCAACAGTTGCAGATTTGCTCACATAGCTGAAGGGGTGAAGCTATCAGGGTCTACTTTTGTTAGATTGGGAAAGCAAATTTCTCCTCATTCACACCGCCTTCTGATGGTGAATGCGGTCGTACTCATGACAGGTACTGATTGGCAGTTTGGTCTATTATCTCACTATTTGCTAAAGTGCTAAACATTGTCTGAGAAATGGTTTGAATTTCTATCAAGTAAAACAATTTTGTGTTCCATTTGTCTGACGCACATTCTTTCTTATGACTTTATGATTATTAATAATGTTGAATTTGTGTTTAAGGGCCACGCCAACACACCTGCCTGGAAGTTTCTAGCATACCTAGAAAGAGCTTGATTAGCTGGTTCAGGTGTGTTGAATTGGAGTTGGAACTGAAATATGCAGGCAAGAGCCCTACAGGACCAGGTTTGTACACCCCTGGCCTAGATTATATGATGACCTTAGTGTCATCCCTCATTGCTTTTTCTGTATGCCAAGTTATTTGTTCTCAGAAACTTTAGGTCATTTCAAGAGGTCACTGAGACCTCTCATGTGGAACTGGACGCATGATGTTACTTGAATAGATGTTAACTAGATGTGAATTTTACTGTGTGGAAGAATGAAATCTTTTAAATGATTCTGTTATAAGAGAAGCTGTCTTGGTATAAGTCTGCTGTGTTTATTCTTTTAGTTTTGATAAGATGGCAGATAGCATAGGAAACAGTCTTGAGAATACAGTTCTGTTATTATCTACTGTATTCTTTTGTCAATCATTCTTACAGTTCTGAGATCGGCTCCTAATAGCCTACTGGCTCTCTGAACTTTGGATCCTGTCTCCATAATATCTTGGAAGAAAATATAAGCCCACCTCTGTGTACCTATTTGAAAATTGTCTATCCATGTTTTAACATATACATACATACGTAAGTTGCCAAGTTATCAACATTGCTCAAAATAGTTGCCCTGTGTATCATCGGCAAAATACTGTAGTTAGATAGTAAATAGAGTAGCTGAAGTAGGCTTCTTCTGATGAAACTGTAAACTATCTTCAGTAAACTTCGATTAAATCTCCGACTCCGATTCATCTTCGTCTGACACATTGCCCATTTTTAGATAACAACTCATGGTCCACAACAGTGCATATTGCATTGAGTGTTATTTGGGATGCAACTAATGTGTTACTCATATTTCTCTTTAACTAACTGTGAAATTTACTAGCAATTTCTGAAAACATCAGTTTTCCTCATTTTATTTCAGCGTACTTACTTGGCTTCCAGATGCACTGTGGAACGGGTAGTGTCTCACAGAAGATTCCTTCATGCCAAAAGCCACCAAACCGATGAATAACATTCCCAGTCTGGTCAAGAACTTGACCCTGCACTTGATTTCTGGCTGCATCTGCACCCCAATAACGTGACTGAGAGAGGAATAAAAACAGATTTTTTGCATTTGTAAAGAGACTTAATGTAAAAATAGGGACTTATAAACAACATTTTATGAGCAGCAAGTTTTTAAATCACTATATTTAGTACACATTTCAAAATGTACAGATAAGCAAGCTTCTTTACTTTTATATAAATATATTGATTACAATGAACGTCAATTAAACATTATTTCACCCATATTTCATTTACCACAAGTCATTTTAAACATGTAAATAAACATTTAAATTAATAAGTTCTTCAAACTAAAATGGCTTCAGTAAATTTGATGTATAAATACATTTGATTCGTATAAAAAAACAACCTTTACTCACCTTGACAAATGTGATCTTACAGGTGCAGACGGAGCTGTTTAGGTTTTGAATAATGACTTCCCCATAATGCTCGAGGTATCGCTGCTGACTCAGGACATTGTGAATGCACGTCACCACTTTGTTCCACTCATAGTGATCCCCATATCTAAAAGCACAGTTTGTGACAGGCCAATCAGAATACTCCTTAAACGCTATATTAAAAATAATTTTTAAAAAAGCATCAATGCCAGAGATACTTGCTTTTTTAGAGTCACGTTCACCATCCCGGTTGGCATGATCTCCAAAGATTTGCCCCAAAATTTGTTCTTCCATCTCTGGTCTGCATTCAGGAAATAAAGAAAGAAAAAGTTAAAGGAATGAGATTTAAATTCAGACATGCAACACATAATGATCACACCGGCTGTAAAACATACCCTGCCAGAAGCTGAAATTGTCAGAGTCTGCATGGCATGCAGATATAGGTGGGTGATGGGAAACCTGAGGGAAAACACACAAATAATGTGTAAACAACTGTTTTATAGCAAACGTATCTGATGTATGATTAGTAGTGTAGATCATATACCTGTTCGCTAATATACCAGAATCCTCTGTCTTCTCTGATACACTCAAAAGTCTCTCCCAGCACTGGGTTAAATGGTTTGTAACGGTTGCGGAACTGAGCCGTGGCATAGCCAGATATAGCAAAAGCAGCAATATAAACCTTTACAGAGACAAATGTTTGCGGTCAGTAAATTGATTTGGAGTCAGTACTTCATTTAGTAACTAAGAAAAGATGCACTCAATTGATTATAATTGACAGAAAAACATAATAATGATACTAGAATATAAGCAGCAAATGCATACAGTAGTCAACATTTGAAGTGCATCATCACCTTTTAAAGTTGTCCCAAAACTATTGATCAACACCCATTCTAGTCCCAGGATAATTTTGAAAAACATTTTTTAATTGACTTCAAATGTTAACTACTATACATGTGCAACAATTCAGACTTCTCACTGTTCAGTTTGGTTTTGGATTATGATACGTTCAGTAAAAAAACTGTGTCAAACAAAAATATAAAGAAAAAAAACTTTTGAATATGCTTTTATTCAGCTATTCAGATAAGCACTTCTCAGATCTTCAGTGGTAGTCACATGTGCGGTCATGTCATTTGTATTTTGCTCAACAGTAAAACTATTAGTTATGACCGATTATTAGATCCACCTTTACAACTTGGGCATTAAATCGGTTATGTATTGTGCTACATCTTATTCCTGCTCTCTGTGTTTTTAATATTAATCAAACAACAAAATATTATGAAATCACTCTTGAACCGAATAGCTAGCTAGCTTATATACAGTATAAAGAGTTATTTGATTATATTTTTAAGTTTATGTAACTGACAACTACTGTACATGAAACACCTGAAAAGCAGTTTTATGTTATCTTTGCTATATTGTTTTCATTTTGCATTTCATTCATGCATTCATTTGCTTTTTCTTTAATTTTTATTTGACAGTGCTTCTTTACTGAACATATCACATAGCGAATCGTACCGAAACTGTGACCTAAAACCAAACTATGAGAAGTCTGTATTGCTATGCACACAATTTTAAATCAAAGTAAAATGTCCGTTTTAATGATTCTAATACCTTCTGTGACAATAAAATGTTAAATATAAGTGAAAAAGTCCCATGGTTATTCAATGCAACCTTTATTTTAACAGATTTAGGATTTTGGGTTGAAAGATGTAAGACGTAAAATGTAAATGATGCAAGCATAAGTTTAAACATACTTTGTTTGAAGAAATAATAGAATTATTATTAGATCCGTATAAATTTACTTTAGAAAATGTTTGAGGTCAGTTAGAATGATTTTTAAATTACATTTTCATTCAGAAAACATGCATTAAATTAATCAAAAGTGTAAAATATTTATGTTGCTTACAAATATTTATGTAGCCTCTATTTTATTAAAAAACTGTTAAATAAACAAATTTTGGTGTCTTCAAAAACAAGCGCAAGTATATTCAATGCTTTTTTAAAGAGCAGGGGTTTAGAATACACATTTAAGAATATAATAATTTAATTTTGTCTTATTACATTAGACCCTTTTATAAAATCACTTTTGTACATGTAATCTGATGTGGGTGTCGTCTCTTTGCAAGTGATCTTCTATTATGCTCACCATCCTCTGGAAGGGGTCATCAGTGTGATTGGCAGTGTCCAGCAGGTCTGAATATTCCAGCTCCTCACAGAGTCTCTGCAGCAAACACACAGGCTCATTCAGAGCTGCTGGCATGGAGACCCGGGACAGATCCTTCCCGATGTTGTTGTAAAGAATCGTCATCAGACCCACATGGCTGTTGTCAGGACAAACCGCAGGCAGAGTCGTGCGCCGTCCAGTGCTCTTGATGGTGTTCGGTTTTGCTGCTGCTTTCGAAAGGCTGGCTCGATATTTGCGAGATGCCATTGCTGTTCAATTGATAAGAAAAAGTTAATGGTGTAACCAAGAATTTAATGCAAAACTTTGAGGTTGGTACAGAATTTAGATCTTGTCATTTGTGTTTGTATTTTTCATTTTAAATATTGTTTAATATTTCCCTAAAAAAAAAATTTTAAGGTAATGACACCAAATTTTTGGTCTGTCACTGTCTCCTCACACTGACCACGCCATAAACATTTGGTGACAGAGCCATCTATAGTTCAAAAGTTTTAAGACATTTATTAGCCATCATTATTGAAACTTAAAAATTTGGGAATAACTTTTGACTGCATATGCTTATTTTGAAGAAATATTAAAGATCAAATAATTCCTTGGGTCATGCCGACAACACTGATATCAATTATGCCATCATCTGCTAAACTTCCTGTCTACCATTTTGATTTTGTTCAAGTAATTTTTTTTAACTTCTAGACTGTTGGTCCAATCTTTAGACCATGTAGACCAAAAGTTATGGCAATCATGTCGATAGATGAAACTGTTGTCATTTAGCATATGCGCAAACTTTATGTCATGCTGCCAGATGACATTACAGGCTTTGATGTATTGAAGTATTTAAACCAAACTTATTATGCGGGATCTAGACCTGACTTTAAACAAACTATGTCAGTCTGAGCCACCTTCTGGGTAAAACTGACAAACAATTAAAATAGATCAATAGAAATCATACAAAATTCATCTAATAACTTTAGAATAGTTTTTTCTATTGTCATGCGACTGGTCTTGCAGATTCCTTGTATCTTACAGAGAACACTGATATAATTTATTCCCTAATTGACACGACTTTCTGTCTACCGTCTTGAATTAGTAAAAAAAAAAAAAAACTGTTTTTCTGAACTCTCCATAGATTGTTAGCCTAATTTCCACCAAATTTGCCTCAGACCATGCAGCCAAAAAGTTATAGAATTTTCCAGTTGCTCGGTAACTTGTTGCCATGCTTGTTTATGCTGTAGCAGCTGGGCTGCTTGACCCTAATAATTGCTCCTTGCTGCTATATTTATTTATTTATTTATTTAATTTATTATTTTTATTCACATTAACATTTTTAAAAAAACATTTACAATTAGATAAACTGATATAACTTTTGATAATGCATAATAATTACATTATATTATATTATATTGCATTACATTATATTATATTACATTGCATTACATTACATTATATTACATTGCATTGCATTGCAATGTATTATATTATATTATATTATATTATATTATATTATATTATATTATATTATATTATATTATATCATATTATGCTTCAAAGCCTTTTTCTATTATTGATATTAAAAAAACTGCTCAATATTTTAATGGAAACTGTTAGCTAGTAATTTAGTACAAGATTAATTAATGAATAAATGTTCAAAACATCACAATTAACTTTTTGATATTATATTTACTTAATAAACATTAAATACGCACACAGACATAAATAAAAATTATATTATGATACATATTCAAATATTTTATTATATTTTACTGATTTATCATTATATATACACACGCACGATTATAATATATTTAATAACATATTTAAACCTTTCAATCATTCATGCTTAAGGTGTAGTTAAATGAATTTCCACTAACCATGAGCCTCATAGGGCTCTGAATTACTGGATCCATCACTCAGACCAGACTCATCAGACATTTCAGAGGAGCTAGCACACTTCAGCTCATCACACGCGTCAAAATACTCCGCCACCGAATCAGCAATCGATGGTGCACGGAAAGAAGAACAGCGGCTGGAGACAGACTGAAAAAAACACAGATAAACATGTTGAGTTACAAACTTTTCACTTAATTCCATGACAACACTAATAAATCTGAAAGATGACAAAAACAAAAGAGCCTTTTAGTCAAATAAAGCGGCTGAAACCCCATTAACCTGTAAAGAAAAGGAAATGGGAACAGAATGGATTATGGGTGGAAAGAGACACACCTTCCTTTGTTCCACAGTGCGGAAGGAGTCGTCCGAGGAGTTGGAAGATATGGAGAGTTTGTGGATTTTGGTATGACGGGAATTAACATCTAACTGGAGATACACACATACACACACAAAGAAATCTATGTAGCAAAGCAAAACAAGTAATGCACTAAAAACTATAAGGCACTAGACCAGTGGTCACCAAACTTGCTCCTGGAGGGCCGGTGTCCTTCAGATTTTAGCTCCAACCCTAATCAAACAAACCTGACCAAGCTAATCAAGGTCTTACAAGGTATACTTGAAATGTCCAGGCAGGTGTGTTGAGGCAAGTTGGATCTAAACCCTGCAGGGACACCGGCCCTCCAGGACCGAGATTGGTGACCCCTGCACTAGACTATTATGGCAGAAGTTCTCAACTCAGTGATTTGTCAATTTCTATTTGATAATTTTTCATGTGTGCTTTGATCAGATAATAATAATAATAACTAGAATTGTACATTTCCTAAAGGAAATGTGAATGGGGTTTGCGTGGCAAATCGATGGGGTACAAAATGGTACTAAACTGGGCAATAGCACTGGAAAGGTAAGAAATGGTGGTTGCTAAGATGTTGCTAGGCGGTTGCTAGGGTGTCCTGAGTGGTTGCTAGGTGGTTGCTAAGGTATTGCTAGGTGGTTGCTAGGGTATTCTAAGTGGTTGCTAAGGCGTTGCTAGGAGGTTGCTAGGGTTTCCTGAGTGGTTGCTAGGTGGTTGCTAAGGTGTTGCTAGGTGGTTGCTAGGGTGTCCTAAGTGGTTGCTAGGTGGTTGCTAAGGTGTTGCTAGGTGGTTGCTAAGGTGTTCTGAGTGGTTGCTAGGTGGTTGCTAAGGTGTTGCTAGGTGGTTGCTAAGGTGTCCTAAGTGGTTGCTAGGTGGTTGCTAAGGTGTTGCTAGGTGGTTGCTAGGGTATTCTAAGTGGTTGCTAAGGCGTTGCTAGGCAGTTGCTAGGATGTCCTGAGTGGTTGCTAGGTGGTTGCTAAGGTGTTGCTAGGCGGTTGCTAGGGTGTTCTGAGTGGTTGCTAGGTGGTTGCTAAGGTGTTGCTAGGTGGTTGCTAGGGTATTCTAAGTGGTTGCTAAGGTGTTGCTAGGCGGTTGCTAGGGTGTCCTGAGTGGTCGCTAGGCCCTTACTAAGGCATTACTAGGCGGTTGCTAGGAGGTTGCTAGGCGGTTGCTAGGGTAATTTGGGTGGTTGCTAGGCGGTTGCTAGGGTACTCTGGGTGGTTACTAGGCAAGCCTCACATACATGCCTGATAAAATATTTATACTTAGTAAGCATTTCTAGCAAGTTACAGTACTTGGCTAGTCAATATTAGCATGTAGCTAGTCACTGCTAGCATGTGTAGCATATAGGAAGTTCCGTTTGCTATCATGAGTCAAACGAGCCAATCCCCAAGTCTCTACGATGTTCCGATGCTGAGATATAGCTGTTGATGAATGGTTGCTAGGGTACTCTGTTTTGTTGCTATGGGCAAGGTTACAGAGTGAACTTGAATGTGGTTGGCTGTCCAGGTCAAATGAGCCAACCCCCAAGTCAATAGAACACTGCCAAGCAAAGATATGCATGTAGGCCAGTTATAATGGCAGTCTATGGGATCAGTTTGGGGGCGTGGCTTGTGAGCTTCATTATCATATTGAGCTGCTGATTGGTTGTCTGAGTCAGATGAGCCATCCCCCAAGCCAATGGGACACTGCTAAGCAAAGATATGCATGTAGGCCAGTTATAATGGCAGTCTATGCGATCAGTTTGGGGGCGTGGCTTGTGAGCTTCATTATCATACTGAGATGCTGATTGGTTGTCTGAGTCAAATGAGCCCACCCCCGGGTCTCTATGACACTCCTATGTAATGTTATAGATGTGTGACCTTTATAATGGAAGTCAATGGGATCTGCAATGGGACATCCCACCCCATGTTAGGTCAATGGGGCACTTATTAGGGGTCTTTAAGTGGTTTGGGGGGGCGTGGCTTGTGAGCTTCAAAATCATAATGAGATGCTGATTGGTTGCCTGAGTCAAATAAGCCCACCCCCAAGTCAGTATGACACTGCTATGTACTGTGATTGACATGTGACATTTATAATGGGAGTCAATGTAATGAATGGGACTCAATGGGCAATGTAAAGTCAATGGGGACCACTTTGGGACGTCCTAGCACCCCAGGGGAACAACCTATACCCCCTTTCGGGGTATGTTCTCACTTAGGCTGCAACCCCCTACAGATGTTGTGAATCCCATATTTCTATGAAATTCACAATGGACGCAGTGATTGGTTAAAGTTCGGCTCCATGTAAAGTCAATGGAGACTTTGGGACGTCCTAGCTCCCCAGGGGTACAACATTTACCGCCTTTCGGGGTGTGGTTTGAAGCCTCCTATAACCCTCTCGAGATGTCGCGAATCCCATGTCTCTACGAATTTCCGTGTTGGCGCTACGGCGATTTCCGGGAATAGTATCTTACGAGTGTCTAGAAAATGAATGGGAGTCAATGGGGCCAATGTAAGTCAATGGGGACCACTTTGGGACGTCCTAGCGCCACAGGGTACAACTTATACCCCCCTGCGAGGTATGTTCTCACTTAGGCTGCAACCCCCTACAGATGCTGTGAATCCCATATTTCTATGAAATTCACACTCTGTGCTATGATTCGTCAAAGTTCGGCTCAATGTTAAGTCTATGGGATTTTTGGGGGGGTTTTTTGGCCCCTGCGGGGCCAAAAAACCCCCCACCCCTTATAAAAGTCATAGCACACCATTCCCAATAAGACCGCACGATTTGAGCCCACTTTCAAGGGTCTGGGACGAAAACTGCGGGACTAGTTACGCGCCGAAAACGCACGGAAGAAGAATAATAATAAGAAGCCATGCACAATTGTAAGAATGGACTTTGCCTAAGGCAAACCCCATTAATAATAATAATAATAATAATAATTTTTATTACTATTATTATTATTATTACATAAAATTATACCAGAATAAATGAAAGTTTCAGCTATGTGTAATAGTAGTTACAGTCTATGAATATTAAATTGCAAAAAGAGTATTATGGTCTAAAAACAAACTAAACATTTCAAGCTAGTTTTGCATGTCTGTGTAAATGAAGGGCGTTGCTTTTTGACTACATTCCAGTCCAATTTTTTTGCCTTTCACTCCATCTCATTTCCTTAAAATATACATCATTAATTATGTTACAAAAGTGTCCACTACTGGCTGGAAGTACTGAATGGCTTTAAAAGGAATGCCCCATGCATGTCCCAGCATTTAGGAAATACACCGTTGTGATGGCTTCAGGTGTCCACTCCAGCACCTATAAATCCCAGAATGCAATATGATTGCAACTACTTGCTCCCTCTAGCAAAATCACGGGATCGAGATAAATTCCCACATTCACATGATGTGCAAGTGGAATGCACTTTAAAATGGCGGCGAGGAAGTGAGTGTGTCTAAAAGTGGACTGGAATGCAGCGATAGATGATCAAGCTTCATGACAAAACTGTCAACATAAGACTAGTTTAACTTGAATTTATTATGACAGAAACTGATCTCTATTGAATATTAGTATGGATTTGTAAATGTAATAAGAAAAAAATGAATATATTTGAAACTTAATAATAATTAATTGAAATTGTCTTCCTTGTTTTAATTTATAATAATTAATTTGAGAAATATAACAACGTATTTCATGAAATTATGAAAGTAATTAAATAATTAAACAAACTTTGACCATTAAATCAAGTCTATGAAAATAAAAAAAATGTGTTACTAAGCTAAAAAAAGTATTGAATAAAATAAATAAATAAATTAATTAATTAATTAATAAATAAATAAATAAATAAATAAATAAATTAATTAATTAATAAAAAAAACTGATTAGTCTGGAAAAATGTAAATAATTGTGCGAGTCAAAAAGAATACATTTTTTTCTGGTAAAAAAGCTAAATAATCTGCTAATTGGTTAAGTAAAACAATACTTATTTCAAAATGAAAACAAGACACCCAATTTGACAAATTATTTCTGAAAACAAAAGATTATTTGCTTACTCATCTAAAAAAAGCCTTTTTATACATTTGGATTTCAAACATGAAAAAAAAAAACACTCTAAAGTAAGAAAACAATCTTTGCAGTGTATGACTATTATTACACATTATTGGATTAAAGTTGATTAGATGACAATCCAGTGTGTGTCATTACAATCAATTAAATCATTTAAACTAAAACAGGAGCTAGTTTGATTCTTTACAGCAGATTAAACAAGAAAAGCTGTAGTAAATTTACTCTTTGCATGCATTCAGGGGATTTCTATGGGCATTTCCCTAAGCAACAGAAGTCCTTCTCACCTCAGCTAGACTGCAGAGGTTGTTGAGCTGGGCAGAGGTGTTCTGGTGAAGGTCTCTGCCGGACCAGGTGTCCCGCAGTCGCTGGCGCTCCTGAGCGAGAGCCTCATGTGCAGTTCGCAGAGAGGCATGAACTGAAAAGAAAAGACAACCATCTGACCCTCAGTCTTCATTCAGTCTAACGCACCAAGCAGGACAGACCAGTTTTAAAGTGATAGATCACCCAAAAATGAAAACTATGTCAGCGTTTACAGCTCTGTCATTTGCTTAAAACCTGTTTGAGTTTCTTTCTTTTGTTGAACACATATGAAAATGTTTTATTGAAACCCATTGACTTCCCTATAAAATATTTCCAACTATTGAAGTCAATGGCAACAAATTTCCAACATTCTTCAAAATATTTGAACTCAAATGGTTAGGAACCACTTCAGGGTGACGACAACTATTCCTTTTTCTCATCTTGTTTTTTGATTGCATGCACGCACACACACACACACACACACACACACACACACACATGCACACAGAATTACTGCATGACTCTCTGACCTTTCAGTGACATCGAGCAGATGTCCTGGTGGAGTTTCTTGCTCTCTGGTGAGGTGGAGGCTGGCGAGTTTGCCGGAGTGCTGACATAATCGGGAATGGAGGGAACAGAGGTTCCCAAAAGGGATGAACTGTTCAGCTGGCTTGATGATAACTGTGTTAATATGTTGGCAAGAAAGAAAAATGAGGGAGGACTGTAATTCTAACAATTATGTAAAGCTTGTAACAATTAGAAGCTACTATACATTTACAAGGAACTAAAGGCATATTCACACCAAGAACAATAACTGTAAATGTACCGACACTATTTTTGTAAAAATGGATTAGTTGTGGTGTGGATGTTGCCATAATTTCAAATTTACAATTCCTTTTAAGAATGTATCTTCACCGTTACAGTTATTGGTGTGCAGAGGTCTTAAAGCACCACTATACTGTATCCAGCATCATTCAAACCTTTTCAATAACAAAAACTAGAAAAGGTTTTAAGGTGAAATTAACACTTATTTATCAAGGATGCATTTTTTTAACAAATGCAGTGCTTTCACTTTCTATTCATTAAAGAAAAACAATTATAATAATTTCCACAACATTGTTTAGCAACATGATAGTTTTCAACATTGACAAAATAGATTTGCTGTTTATAAAGTAGCAATTCAACATACTAGAAATATTTCTCAAAGATCATGTGGCACTAATGATTCCTAAAAATAAAGCGGTCACAAAAGAAATACATTACATTTTAAATACAGTTTAAAATAGCTTCTTATTTTAATTTAATAATAGTTTTCAATAACATTTTACAGTAACTTGGATCAAATAAATGCAGACTTGGGAGAATAAGATGCTTACCGCCCCCAAACATTTGAATGATAGTGCACAATATGCAAAATGCAATAGCGTCAAATGGTTGAATGCATTAGCAACCTGATATATAATATATTTTAAATTACAGGAAATGTGTGTTGTGCTGACTTACCGATTTAGTAATCCCACGAAAAGGCTTCATGTAAAAAAGCAGTTGACTAAATTACTGGGGGTTTTGAAGCTCTATTGCTTACTACACATCAACACAACACAAATGCCTGTCTACTGTATTTCAAATAAAATACAGAGATTTTTAGGGATGACACTGCACATTATGTAACATGGAATAAAATTCCATAACACTTTCCAAACCTTTGTGGAAAACATGGAATAATCCCAATGAGAGGGCAATCCCTGTGGACAAAGATTAAAATTGCTTCCAAGACTTTATCTAAGATGTCCTAATACAAGTAAAGAAAAAATGAGCAGTCTCACCATTCCAAGACCCTCAACTCGGGAGAGTGTGCGTGAGTGACCAAAAATCTTGGCGGATTTCTTTTTGGGTTTGTCAAGAGAAAGATTCTGTGGATCAAACAGATGTATGACTGTTTTATATATGCTCTAGACCAATCTTATATGTATATAATCAGGGGCGGAGTTAGAGTGTAGCTTGGGGTGCAACCCACTCATAACCCCTACCCTCTCCTCGGTTTCATCCGTGACCCCCCACCAGTTTCGATATTCACCCCGAAGTAACTGCCGGCCCATGCTTGGCCACCCCAATAAAAAATCCCTGCCTGCCTGTGTCCAATTTTAAAAAAATTTGATAGTCATAAAAACATGGGAAAAAAATCCTTGACTTTCCATACCTTGGTATAGAAAAAAAACTTAAAACTAGTTATACTATTACTAGTTTAAGTTTTAAAACTTAAAACTAGTTATCGTCTCTTGCCTAATAGTTATATTTTGTTTTTCAGCTAAGCATCCACACAATTGTAATTGTAAAATGTTGTCAATTTGCACAATACTAGCCAGAAAATTGATATAGTTTAAATCAGGGTGCGAATTAAACATTGACAAGCAAGGGGGGGTCAACTTTTTTGGTAGTAGTTTGGTAATGTATGCTTCAGTGAATGAAATTTATGAATGTATATAAATGACATCTCATCTATTATTAAAATTTGTATGTTAAGGGATATTTAGTGACTATTTTAGAGGTTACTCTCTGAAAACTATACAAATTATGCCTAATTTTTTTTTTTCTTTTTAAGGCAACATGCAGATAAAAACAGCTATTTTACAAAAACATGTTTTGTGAATACTTAGGATGTGCTTCAGTGCTCTAGAACTGCCAGTTTAAGACTGTTGAATCATATTTTTTCTATTGATTGGCACGATTATGCATTCCCAATGGTATGAATCGATATGGGGGGGGGGGGGTGTCAAATGTATATTTATATTATACATTTTTAATCAATAAAATTTAAGATATAAATCAGAGATCAGAGAAAGCTAATTCTAACTATTAACAGGCTAACCTGACCCATCTTGTTTTGATGTCCTTCAGGGAGGATCAAGCATTAATTAGGGTGGTCAATACCCCCAAACCCCGCTGTAATTTTCAAATGGAAAAAAAACCTTCATCCCGCATCTTTTTATTGGACCTAAATATTCTATGCCATATGGCAACCGTACTTGTCATTTGTTGAAAAATTTAAGCAGCACAGTCTCAATAAATGTACAAAATTTTTGTCATTGTTCTATTTAATTGACTTTTTTTTAACCTATCAGACGTAAAAGTTGGGGTATGCATGCAAGTACTTGTACTATATCCTGTTTCTGTGAAATTCTGCTCATTGCATACAATAAAACCTAACATAAATAGACCTTGTTCAAACTTTAATTAGGAGTCATTAGAGCAGGGGTGCCCAAACTTCTTTGTATAAAGGACCATAATCCAAATATCATATAGAGCCATGGGCCGCAGGTAAATATACCAAAGTATATTACATTAAAGTAGCCATGGATAATTTCCCAATTTATTTCATAATATTTTATAATAAAAAATAAAAACATTGCTTTAAATTATTTTAACTAATGCAGTTTAAATGCTAAGTTATTGTAATAAAACAATCACATTTATATAACAGCTGAGTTCAATGTTGAATTCACCAGTCAAGTAGAATCTGTCTTTGACTTTATTTGCTCAACAAAGCCTCTGCATTTTCAGGTGACAGTATATACACAATTAAACAATATCTGATTTATTTACACCATTTATTTAAAACATTAAATTTCAGTTGGCTTTTAACAATAAAACAAACAAACGGGCTACATTAAATTTAAATTGACAATCTCGAATCCATCCCCATTATTTTCCCTTTCTTCTCAGGTGGGATGTTGGGCCAAATCAAAGGTCATCTTTGGCCCACAGGCCCTGGCTTGGGCATCTCTGCATTAAAGTAAAGGCTCCTTATTTACTAACCTGCATGCTGATCATTCTCTGGAGGTCTCCGTTATAGACAGTTTGCCCCGACTCTAGAGAGTTCAACTTTTGAACCAGCCGTTGCAGCTCATTCAGCTCCATCTGACAACGTGTCAGCTCTGGAAAACAGCCCAAAGTGGCATTTTAAAATCCTTTCTTTGTTCTCATGCATATTACTATTGACATTTTCTAGTGTTCAATATAACACCACAATACCTTGTCCACAAAAATCTGGTTCTTGGGTCTGAAGCCAAGCTGACACCTTCCCATTAACAGCAGGACTTACATATTGAAGATTTTCACCCATAGAAGACCCAGATGTGCCCTAGAGTTGTTCACAAGACATTTATTTGTAACTTTCATTAGCCAAATTAACTCAAAATATCTATTAGAGTGCATTTACAGATCAAGGACATAAGGTCTAATCGCTAATACCGCTTGTTCTTAAATTGTGAGGACACTTTGTCCTAATCCCTGGTGATTTAGAGTGCAACAGGAAGTCACTGTAGAAGACGTATTTACTCACCATGTCCTGCATGGGACTGGTTTTGTGAGATAAATTACTGGTATGGGACAGGACCTGGAGATAGCCATTGTGAACGTGCGCAGCCTCGTTCTTTTTATACATCCTGTGGGCGCTCAGTTTGGTGACCCATATGAAATATAAATCCTGACTCTTGGCCTATAATGAAAAGTCAAATGTGTTTAGTTAACATTTTTTATCTGCATAAACATTTGTTTAAAAAGGTAATTCACCTAAAAATTTTAATTCTGTCATTTTACTAACCCATCACTTCTTCCAAACCTGCTTAAGGTACTTTCTATTGTTGAACACAAAAAACAATTATGTTTTGAAGTATGCTAAAAACTAGCAGCCATTACCCTTTATTTTGTACTATGGACGTCAATGGCTACTAATTTACAACATTGTTCAAAATACTTTTTTTAGTGTTCAGAAATGAATCAAGGTTTAGATAAATTTGAGATTGAGTAAATTATGAGTATATTATATTTTTTGGCGAAGCCAAAGTTTTTAGTATATTTTTTTATATTTTATACTTTGACTAGGTACAAATACTAAGGAAGCCATTCAGCTTCCAACCTACCTTAAAATATCTTCTTTTGTATTGAACAGGCATTGAAACAAACAGGTTTAGAACACATGAGATGAGTAAATGATGGCTGTAATTCACTTAACAGCCATCAGTGTCACTATTAACAAATGCTTCTAAATTTGACACAGTATAGCCTCTGAAAACTAATCAAGCATACTCAGTGCCAACTGTAAAATGACTTACTTTCAAATGATACAGATTGTCTCCAGCATCCAGATCTATGCGTCTCGCTTTTTTGTTTACGGACATAACTGCAAGGCTGACATCCAGTGAACCATGCATTTTCCCTCTAGAAAACTGTCGATAAAAATAAATAACGGATTGTTAAAAGAGCCCAAAACAAGTGGATGAACAAATATCACATACTCACATCATGTTGATTTTTTGTATATCGTAGAATCCCTTTATCCAATACAAAGTATCTCTGTAAGAAAGCATAACGTTAGAATCACAATGCGACAAGTGCCAGCAGAAAATGACATTGAACACCAGTTTTTCCAATACCTTATGCCAGCCTTTAAGAGGCCACTTTCTCCTTTTCATCAAGTAGCCCTCACAGATTCCTGGAGTATTTGCATCCTGAATGTTTTCAGCAGTTATGGTCAAGTCTGCTGGACAATCGTCCATTACCTCCCAGTCTTTAACGTTCTATATGAAAGAGTAAGAAGAAGGCATCATAGTTAAGCACAACAGGGCGTTTTCCTATTTTAACAAGTGTCACATGTAAGCCAAATGAACAAAATGTAACAATCAAGCTTGTTGAGACACATAAACTTGTCAGTTAGGCTTTCACACCATATGACAGTATAGTTCATAGTTCTTGAGCAACTGGTTTTGAACAGCCACAGGATAAATTCCATGTAAGTCTTCAAAGGTGTACATTTAGGGAAATTGTGTTTTTATCATTAAATATTAATATTATATTTGTAAGATATCAGTGCAGGGGTGGCCAACCCTGTATTAGTGTATGTCTCAATGTCATATGAATGGGACATAAAAAAGGTGAGAGGTCACATAAAAGAAGTGAGCTGATAAGCATACACAAATGTAATACAATATTAATATTAATGTGTGTCCAGAGATGTCAAGTAGATGGTACAAACCAGACGTGAGTGGCGTGAAGATGCCGTGCTGCTGCTCCTAGAATGACTGGGTTTCTGCCAGCCGCTGGACACCTTCTCCACACCACTCATGTGGGACTGATTATGATCCACTGAGTCCATTGTGAAAGTTTGCACTTAATAGTCAAGCTCTGTGTAAATATAAGCTCTACTAGAGACTTCCTCTCATTGTCCACTAGAGCACAATATGTCTGCAAAACACAAACATTTGATTATTAGCATATGCATTTTTAGAAAGGAAAACATTACATATTAATCAGTTAGTCAGTCAAACTAGACCAGTAAGACCAGCTTTTGTTACAAACCCAATTATGAAAACTAAAAAAAAAATAATAATAAAAAAATTGTAAAAATATTTTGCATGAGCCTGGGGGGAAAGCCATGTTGACAAGGGTTTTAAATGTTTTTTCTGACTTCCATTCATCTAAATATATTGATTTAGATACTGATATTGATATATTTGAGTAAAAAAATAATGTGCTAAATCACAGTGTCATGGTGACAGTGCATTTCCAAACAGTGTTAAGTGAAAACACAAAACTTTTAAAAATGTGTAAAAGTCTAAGGTGTAATTAGTTATTGCTAAAGTAACTAGCATTATGGCTGTAAACAAATCAAAAGCAACACAGTGTCCAGGGAAAACTCATCTAATTCTGTTATCTAACAGCAGGGATCTGCCTCAGACAACACTTCCTGAGCAGGACTTAAACATTTGCCCTTTTCGAGGACACACCATTTCATCATCTCACACTTTTCACATAGCTTAACATGACCACAACAAATGTTTACAATGATGCAAATAATACACTTATAATTGCATAAGTTAAAACATGCAAAGATAAGGCACAGAGCAAGGAAACACCTTTACTGCAATATGATAGACTACATACAGAGATTTCTAAAAAAAAAAAAAAAAAACTTGGTTCTTTAAGATGTAAGCTGAATGGAATGTCATCAGAGAGGTGTGACAGAAACCAAACATGTTTACAAAAATGTTCTATTGTCTCATCAACTCTGACTAGCTCATACCTGCCCAATACACAAGATTGAGGCCAAACATCTGAATTTGTAAACAGATGGATTAGAAGGAGAGTGATTAACTATTTGATTATATAATTGGTTATATTCATAAACAAATTGTAATATTGAATATTCAGTCAAGAATTGGTGTATAATGTTTTTAGTTTGTTGGAGGGAACATTCTGTTTTGCACAATATAAGCAGTAACGCATGCTTATGGATAGTAGCCTAACACAGTCTCTACGGGAGAGGCTTAGTGTCATTACGATAATTGGCTTTGGATGTCCCTTTTTAGCAGACATTGGCTTGAATAGATTTTCACAGTGAGCACGATGACAGGTCACAGTAAATATGATCTATAATCTCAGGAAAACGGTGTCAGGTGCACATTTAACGGATAACAATAGTACAAATGCTTCAGAGAGGTTAGAGAAGTCGTCATACGAAAATTACATCTTTAAAATCAAAAAAGAAGCTGCACATCGATGATTAATTCGGCTATTGCAGGTTAGCATTACGTAAAACATCATCAGGTGTGTTCAAAAACAAAACGCAGAAAGACTTGCTTTGTATAACTAAAATAACATTTAATTATTAAAACCTCTACAACTTTAATTACACATAAAGGCTACTGAGATTATAAAGATTCATTTTGAGTAACGTTACTAACATAAACAGTCGCCACGTGTAAGGTCAACGTTACGCGATTAGGTTAACGTTACCTAACTTACAAGGCTCCCGCATCATACAAACACACGTTGAATTAAACAGTACAAGTGTAAACGCCAGTGTATTTTAAACTCAAAATTATATTTAAACAACTACAACTAAAAACCACATATTGTTTTCCACCTAAATTTTCGACTCATTTTCACCAATTAACTAATAAATAAAAAAAAAACAGTAAAATTATTCCAAACACATTTTTACTACTACAAATCGCCATTGCTTCTCTAAAATTTCTCTAAAAATCTCACAAAGTTTCTGTAGACGTTGTAACTCCTGCTCTTACCTGAGGTTCCTGCTCTTGGCCAGCGTGTGGTATATTTCTAAACTGTGTGCTCCTCGCTGCGTCTGATTTTCACGTTCCCCCATTTGTACAATTGTGCGTCACTTCTAGCTACTTGGCAACCGGTTCAACCACTTTCTACTGAAACTCGGGAATGCAGTTATTCCGTGTACATACCAGAACACCGTGTGGCGAGACAGCACTCAAACTCTCCTTCACTGGTGACTGAACATCCTCCAAATCCACCATAGGCTTCAGGCCAAATCATTATCCGTATTATTGTCTTAAAAGCTGTCGGAATTACAGTCATGTAGGAGGAACTTCACTGAGAGCCAGCCTTTCAGAATACATTAAAAGCTGAAAGCACTGAGCTGCCAAATGAGACAGGATAACTTCCAAATCTACTCATTTTCAAGTGGGTAACTCCCTATTTGGGTTTTATATATTACCAAATACATTTTATTTAGAGAGAGAATTTATAAAGTTTTGTTTCCCTGAAAGATTATTGTGAACATGTCCTTAAATCAGAGAGCAGTGTTGAAATATGAAATTTCTGCAGCAAACCCAGATTTATAAAGATGAAGATGGGCTGACCTGATGAACATGGTGTGTAATCCAGAGATTAGCACTGAGGATCTATGATCACTATCTTGTTTATTTTGGCTATGTTCCCCTGGTTTTTTGACTTAAACATCAGTTAAATCCCCTTTGATGTATTTACATTTAAGGCACCAAATTGACATTGCCTAATTGATGTAAATGAAGCCAGGGGTTCCCACACTTTTCACTTCTGTTAATGGGTTTCTTCGTAAAAGTCAGTTTCTATGTAGGCTACCAAGCAAATTTGTCGTTTTAAACTTAAAATCCACTTCAATAAACATTTTTGTGACCTTTTGACATTTTATATGCATATAATGCCAAATAATTAAGGGTAGGTAGTAAAAATACATTTAATTATTATATTAACATGATTTATATATATGAAATGACTTTCAACAATTCTAAAAACAATTATAAAGAATATAGTGGCGATTATTTATATATTTTACAAAATGACACAATTCACTGAAATCATCATTAGAAAGGTAGAATTTACATCTAATTTAAATACTTTTACATCTAATTTAAATACTTTTAATTCTATTTTAACTAAAATTGACATGAAATACATCTAGATAAAACACTGAATATTGCCTTCAAGCAGAAATATCTACAGTAATGTATAGAAGACTTTTAAGTTCACATGCACATTTGGTCATGTTAAAGTATCAACAAACAAAACAAATCAGCTGTATTTGAGGCAAAAAATGCAAAGACATTGCAGAGGATACATTTGCATATGTGTGGCAAAGTGCAATTCACATATTTAAGTGAATATTGTCAAGAAAGGTCACCCATACTCAAAACTCATCCTTTGCTTTTGACCCATTCAAATGCACAAACAGTGCGCATACACAAAGCTATTACTTCTAGTGCCAAGAGAACCATTAGGGGTTAGGTGTCTTGCTCAAGGGCACCGCATCTGGGTGTTGAAGATGGACAGAGTGTGGTTCATTCACTCCCCTTATCTTCAATTCCTGTCAGTAATCGTACCTGCAACGTTTGTTTACAAGTACAACTCCTAACCATTAGACCACAACTGCCCAATACAAACATCACGTTTATTCATGTAGGAAGTCATAATGGTATATTGCTATAAATGTATACAAACAGCAGATGTTATATTGAAAAGACATCCATTAACATCCTGACATGAATAAATATTACACGTTTAATTGAAGACTTTTGTCAATGATTGTCCTCAATACTAAGCCGTCTCCACAATATGTACTTAAATGCAACCTGTGTGCAAATCCATACATTTTCCTCCAACTATGACACACATTACAAATGACAACTACACAACTTTAAATACTATAATTTTATTACATGCACATGATCATACAGAGCTGCTCGTCCATGTCTATATTTAAAACTCAAGCTGCGGCTTCCTGTATTGAAGCATCTTTATCTGTGTCAGCAGAGCTCTGCTGTTTGACATACTGCTGAAGGAGGGCAGAAAGATGAGCTGGATGGTGATGTAGCATTGAGACAGTCTTTGAGGTCATCATGGTTAGACCACTAACTAGTTCACCCCGGATGATGGCAATAGATGGGAGTTTGGAGTAACTGAGAATGCCTTGATACGAGAACAATGTGTTCTCTATACAAGCACCTGGAAGAAAATGTTTCAGCACGTCAGTGAGATAATACCCGTTTAAAATATCAGTATAAGTTGGTGCATATGACAAACTCACCTAACAGCACAATTTGTGGATTGTGCCTCAATGCCTGCAGCATCTCTTTAACTTTTGGCTCTTTACTAGCTAACAGGACAGTCTCGCCAAAAATTAGAGGTGACATGTTACCGTAAATGCTGCTGTTGAGGAAGGATCTTGTCACCTGCACGAAAACACAAATAAATGTCACAAGCAGTCAACTGTGGTAAGCATTACTATTACGGCTGCGAGATTAATAGAAATCGAATCACAATTTGAAACATTGCGATTAGTTATTCGCATGAAGCTGCAATATGAAGTATATATTCATTCATTAATTATTTTTTCGGCTTAGTCTATTTATTAATCTGGGGTCACCACAGCGGAATGAACCGCCAACTTATCCAGCACGTTTTACACAGCGGATGCCCTTCCAGCCGCAACCCATCACTGGGAAACATTCACACACACTCATTCACACTCATACACTCCAGACAATTTAGCCAACCCAATTTGCCTATATTGCATATATGTATATATATATATATATATATATATATATATATATATATATATATATATATATATATATATTCTTTTTTTTTAATCGCAATTTGTTTTCTACAAATCGCACAGTCCTAACTACTATATCTTGGCATTACCTGGTTTGGAAAGAACTTGACATTGATTGCATGTTTTTTCAGTCTGTGTTTCAAATGGATCATATCCTCTGCAGAGATGGCATTGTTTTGGGCTACAGCAATCATCTTGTACTCTTGAAACAAGTTTTCTAAGTCTTTCCTTAACATAACTGCCAGAGAGCTTTCCTGAAAAAAGAAGTTAGCATATAGCATTATAATCATAAAAGTAAATAACAAATATTATTATTACAATATTGTTCTAAAATTAAGCAAATCAATAGTGTATATGCGGAAGGTCTTTTAATTGTTTAGTAACCTGAGTCCAACGCTTTCGGTGAACTGCATGCCGTTACAAAATCGGCACATTAAAAGTTTGTTTCCTTTATAAATCTGCAATCTTCTGACTGGTTAATATATGATATAAAGTGGATCTCAGACTGTACAAGAATCACTGCATTAAATTACAGCTTATTTTACTCCAGTATTTACAGTTCTAGCCTGCTGATCCTGACGGCGTGTGCGTGGAAAAGGCTTTTCATCTCTTGTTATGCTTGAACAACTAAATGAACGCTGCAGTATATTTAACCTATTATATTTTAATAACATGACAACATCATTGCTGTAAAGGAACCATACAAAATTAAAAAGTTTATCAATATGGGAAAAAACACTAGCTGTGCATATATTCTATACATCAAGACAAGTAATTGACATGTAAAAATTGCTCATATAATACTTAAAAAATACTTTTTATAATAAAGTGAAATTAAATAATAGATTAAATTAAATGAAAATCAAACAAAAAATTTAAAATGTACTCATGGCAACTAAAATAATACAAAACATTAACATTAATAAAAAAAACAACTAAAAATGAAATAAAAATAATGTAGCTAAAAAAATTCAAATATTTAAAATTAAAGATGCCTAATGGCTACATCCAGCAATAGGCTTGTTTAATAACTGTAGAAATGATGAACCTCTCCAGTTTTTTTGACTCGTGGAGCGAGAGCAGCAGGAGGAGCGGACAGTGTGGGAGGAATGTACTCGGTTACTGCCAGCAGCTTCTGCTTCTGAAAGTGAACTGGCTTTTTGTGCCGGGTGACAGCTTTGGAGCCGTGACGAACACTCTGGGTTAATGGAACCCATCCTGTAGGTTGACAGATTAAACATATTTGAGAAAGCAATGCAAAGCTAGAAAATAACAAGGCTAGGGCACAAGCATTAATACTTAAAATAATGATGACACAATTTCCTTACGAATGTCATGATTATTATGAGGTTCTCATATCTCATAAATAATCCACAGTAGCTGCAGGAATACAGAAAGCTAAATATGGAGCGAATAACCAAATATAGTTGAGCAAACAGAGGGAGTTCAACAAACACTTCATTCACTCCAAAAATGACTTACTAATTTATTATGAGTTGAAACAACACAATTATTAGGTTTTGGAAGACAACTGAATTGTTTTGTTTAATTCATTTTATATTGTAAAACAAAACTCCTTAACGTTAACTTTATCGACTTGTGTTAGGACAACATGAAGGAATTGTGAAACCCAACATTGTATTACTGAGGTAAATTGGATTTATTATATTCGCACATCCATTCAGTGACAACTTGTGACAGTCCTTATATTGTGTACCATGCTACTTAGAATTTGCAGTCTGAAATCGCATGCATAGAATTCTTTTCTGAAATTATATCATTAAGGAGAAAGTACAAATGTGAGAGTATAAAACCAACTTTACCTCAAAGCATTTTACAGTGTATGAACTGCATATTCCCTGATGCTACTAACGTTACTGTTCACAATATAGCTTCATAGGGTCTTTCAGCTCTGTATGTCATTTTCCGATAGAGTTTATAATTAAAATATGAATGGAAAATATTTGCTTGCTTTATATATTGCATAGTTAGAACATGTTGATAAATTTCAAAACTGAAATATCATTAGAACTTAATCTTACCCGCTTTCGGGAGAAGCCTGCAACACAAGGTCGCTGCCATTTTGATGCGGATTTGACGTGAGCTAGTTTTGTTGTGTCTTGTTTACAAAATAAAAGTTTCGTTGTTATGATTGTGTTAGAAAAATATTAGGTTTAAAGAAATAAGTAAATTTGTTTACTGTTTATTTAATTTAAGTTTACATTATTATACAAATAAAAATAATTGGTTTCATATTTTTTTCATATTAAGCTATTTTAATCATTAAAAATAAGAACTATAGTTTTGAAGTATTGAATATCACATTAATAGTGAATTATTATGTATAAATGTTTTTGTAACATTATTTTTTTATACATTTCAAATTTAAAGGTTAGTTACAAAAACGTTTTCATAACATTTTAAAAAATAAGCGTGCATGAACGTGATGACGCAGCCGCGGAACAAGCATGAGACGTCTGTTAAGGTTTTGCACGTCGAGGAACATCAGCAATATTTTGAAGTTTATTCAACCCAGTGTTGCCTCGAGAGTCCACAGTCCATCGTTATTTACCTCGTTTTTCTGCAGGACATTTTCGGACAGCGGCACCAGCATGGATCTTAGTAACATGAGAAAGACCTATAAGAGCGATCAGGAGGTGGGAGGCTTACATTTTGGGTTATGAGGGTTTTTTAATCTCAGGTGTACGACCATGACCTCAGACCTTATTTGAGATAGACATATTCCAGAGTATCATAGTGATTTTGACATAAAAAGCTATATTTACTACGCGCAGTGTTATATTTTATGGATAAAATGTTTAAAACCGTATCAATACAATTAATTTATATTTTTATTTATCTCTATGATCTGCAACTGACAAGCATGCACATTTGCATAAATGATTGACTGATTCTGTACATTGCCACCTGACCTTAAAAAGAAATCTTATCAATTAAGATTATGAAGAGAATCAACATAATCATGACAACATTTACCCTTAAATTGTTTTTTATGCATGTCAATTATGCATGTGTTAATAGTAAAGTTACATAATAGATGGCAAGAACGCCTTCTAGGGTCGCCACAGCGGAATTAACCACCAACTTATCCAGCACGTTTTTTATGCAGAGAATGCCCTTCCTGCCGCAATCCATCTCTGGGAAACATCCACACACACACACTCAAACACTACGGACAATTCAGCCTACCCAATTCACCTGCACCGCATATCTTCGGACTGAGGGGGAAACAAGAGCACACGGAGGAAACCCACGCGAACACAGGGAGAACATGCAAACTCCACACAGAAACGCTAACTGAGCCGAGGTTCAACCCAGCGACCTTCTTGCTGTGAGGCGACAGCACTACCTACTGCGCCACTGCGTTGCCCGAAAGAACCCCTTCATAGATCTAATTCACTATTAAAGTCCACACACAAATGAAGTATACATTATGACCACCTGTCTAATATGCAGGTAATCCTCCCTGTGCTCCCAAAAGAGCTAACCTACCAAAGCATGAACTCTGCAAGACCCCAGTAGGTGTCCTGTGTTATCTGGCACTGACACATTCCCATGAGATCTTTCTAGTCTTGTAGGTTGTGAGGTGTTAGAAGATGCTTTGGCTTATCAACTGATTCTTATATATGTTTTTGTGTGACAGCAAAATATTATAAATATTCATCAATTTCATCCTACAGTGTTTTGAGGAGAATCAACTTGCATCTTTAGATCCTATTAAGCAATTCGGCAGCTGGTTTGATCAGGCCACCAAGTGCCCTGAAGTGGGAGAAGCCAATGCAATGTGTCTTGCAACAGCGACTAAGTAGGTATCTCAATTTGTTCATCAATGCCTGCAATGACACAAGTTAGCTTAAAAAGGGATAATTCACCCCCCAAAAAAAATTTATTAAAAGTAATTTATTGTTGTTTTATTAATTTCTTTCTTCTGTCAAACTCAAAACAAGATGATCTGAAGAATTTTGGAAACAAGCAGCTCTTGACATCCATAGTAGGAAGAAAAAATAATATCAATGTCAATAAAAATTCTTCCTAAATTTTTTGTGTGTGTGTGTTCAACAGAAGAAAGTAGCACGAACAGGTTTGCAACAAGTACAAATCAGAAGTTTGATTTGTGGGTTAACTATCCCTTAACATGTCATGTAGTCTTTTGGCAGTGTATTATTAATGGAATAACTTTGATTTATTAAGCTTACTAATTCAATGTTGCCTTAATTGATTCGTCTTGTCTCTTCTGAAGGGACGGTCACCCCTCTGCACGCATGGTCCTTCTAAAAGGCTACAGCGAGGAGGGATTTTGCTTCTTTTCCAACTATGAGAGTCGGAAAGGTTCAGAGCTGGTGAGGTCTTTTAAACAGAAAATCAGTCCACATGTTTGCTTTTGCATCTTTACGTCTTCTAAATGCCCTTTTTGTGATAATATAGGAGAGCAATCCTCACGCCTGTCTTGTCTTTTACTGGGAACCGTTAAACAGGCAGGTAAGTCTTTTTATTGGACATGTATTTCGGAATATTCTACAGAAAATTCTTTGATAATCAGATCGAAAGAATGTTTCACTTAAGTTTAATATTTGTCTTGTTTCAAGGTTTTAATTGCTAAAAAAAAACTTTCAGCTTTAATGTTTTCTGCTCAAACAGATTCGCATTGAAGGCACTGTAGAGAGAATCCCATACGAGAAGTCACGTGAATACTTCCACTCGAGGCCCAAAAGCAGTCAGATCGGTGCTGTTGTGAGCAGGCAGAGTACAGTAATACCCAGCCGACAAGTGAGTATCATCTTCAACCACCGTCCATGGTTATTAGTTAAATAAAACAACAGATATAAAGTAAGTTTGTTAATTGAAGCATTGTTAAAATAAAACTAAATTTAAGTATTTCATAAAAAAGAAGCTAAATCAAAACTGGAAATGCTGTTTTGGTATTTAACAGACACAAATCAACACTAAAATTAAGCAGAAAAATAAACAAAATGAATGCAACTGAAATAAAAAATGAATATGAAATTGTAAGAACTCATTTGTCAACATTAGTTGCATTTGTATGCATGTAGTGACATTTACAAATCCTATATTCTAACTAAAGAGTTTGAGGTTGGGTTTAAAAAAAAGAGTTAGTATTAGGGGTAAAACTAGGAGTTATATTAGTACAGGGTTCTTACAGGTGCTGGAAATCCTGGAAAATGCTTGATTTTTATTTTAGTGTTTTCAAGGTTAGAAAAGTGCTTGGATTTTAGACGAAGTGCTTGAACCTGCTTGAATTAGCAGGATTGAAATTGTGACTGTTTTGGTTGCATATGTGCACAATTTTGTCTATGTGACCTCAATATATACGTTTTAATTTTGTCTATGTGACCTACATATTTAATATGTGATCCCAACTATATTTGGGAGCATTTGTGCGAGTGGATAAATTGTTGTCGTGCGACCAGTTTTCATTGCAAAATGTTCACCGCATGCGCGCATTTATGGAGCTAATAAATGCCAAAACAATTTGAATTCGAATTGTGTTAAATTGAATTATTAACAATTGTAAGTTAATAATACTGATTATATCCTATTAGAAATGTTTTGAATTTGTATTTCTTAACTTGATTATCTGAAATTTAAGACAACTAAATTTTTAAAGTCAGGGTTTTATAGACCTATTTTTAAACCTAAAACGACAATCCAATGACTGTAAAGAAAAAATAGCAGTGCACATGAAATATCATGTACGACACCCAAACAAAATCTGACTGTAAGCTCATTTCTTGAGATATCAACTTTACGTAGAAAGAGACCAAACTTAAAAGCATTTTTAATTTATTTTTTAATAATTTTTGGGTAAACTATCCCAATAAATCCAAAATATCTTCAATAAATCTAAAGTGCTCAATAAATTTTATTTTTTTTAAAATAGCACAATTGATTTGAATGTGAAAAAATACATACAATATATATATATATATATATAAACATAATTAACCGTGGTTATTAGTTGCAGGTAAAGCATACAAATGTACCTTGAAAGTGCTTGAAAAGTGCTGGAATTTGTAGTTGGAAAATGTGTAAGAACCCTGTAGTAACATTAGGGGTTAAACATAATGGTTATATTATAGTGGTGTTTTAAATGTTAAGTACCAGCATATACATTGTAATATATTGTATCAAATGGATTAGTATGCTGTAGTAAGGGTCACCTATTGACTTTATTCTGCAATGCAGAAGTGTAGTCGTTTTTTGTGATTGTTTTAGAACTTCCAATTGAGTTGACTATGGCAGAAATGAATAGGAATAATAAACAGCAGAAAACGGTCAAACTACTTGCTCTACAAACGAGTGTGTTCAAGACTATTCTTAAAATGTAGAATGATATAATTATAAAATATCAGTTTGCAACATCAAGCAGCATAACAAGCCATTTTAAACATATAAAAATCAGTGAAAGTGAATGAAACTGGAAGTCTCGAGCCAAAAAGTTTCCAGTGGCCTTGCTCACTTAAATGTGAAGAATAAGGTCAATAAAATAGTACAAGAAACTAATAGAAATGACTAAATTCATTCATTTATTTGTTTTCTTGTCGGCTTAGTCCCTTTATTAATCCGGGGTCGCCACAGCGCATGCCCTTCCAGCCGCAACCCATCCCTGAGGAATAGAAATGACTAAATGTATACCTAAAATAGGCCTATATTCAAATATAAATCTTTTTTAAAACTTCAAAAACTATAATGTTATATAAAATTGAAAACAAAATGATTAGCCCTCCTGTCAAATTGTAATTATTTTTCTAATATTTTCCAATTGCATTTATTAAACGTAATAGTTTTAATAACTAATTTTTTTTTGTCTTTGCCATGATGACAATACATATACATACAGTGCATCCGGAAAGTCTTCATAGCGCTTCCTCTTTTTCCACATTTTTTATGTTACAGCCTTATTCCAAAATGATTTTAAAAAATCATTTATTTGCTCAAAATTCTACACACAAAACCCCATAATGACATCGTGAAAAAATAATTTTTGCAATTGTTGCAAATTTATTAAAAATAAAAAATCACATGTACATAAGTATTCACAGCCTTTGCTCAATACTTTGTTGATGCACCTTTGGCAGCAATTACAGCCTCAAATCTTTTTGAATATGATGCCACAAGCTTGGCACACCTGTCTTTGAGAAATTTTGCCCATTCCTCTTTGCAGTACCTCTCAAGCTCTATCAGCTTGGATGGGAAGCAACAGTGTACAGCCGTTTTCAGATCTCTCCAGAGATGTTCATTAGGATTTAGCTCTGGGCTCTGGCTGGGCCACTTATGGACATTCACAGAGTTGTTGTAAAGTCACACCATTAATATTTTGGCAGTTTGCTTTGGGTCATTGTCCTGCTAAAAGATGAACCGTCCCCTCAGTCTGAAATCAAGAGCGCTCTAAAGCAGGTTTTCATTCAGGAAGTCTATGTACATTGCTGCATTCATCTTTCCCTCTATCCTGGCTAGTCTTCCAGTTCCTGCTGCTGACAAATATCCCCACAGCATGATGCTGCCACCACCATGTTTCACTGTATTAATGGTATTAGCCTGGTGATGAGCAATAATAATAAACTTGCAACAATTAAAAATAAAACTAAAGTTGTGTGTAGAATTTTGAGAGAAAAAAAAAAGTGGAAAAAGTGAAGCACTATAAATACTTTACAAATGCACTGTATATAGTGCTTAAAGTGCCATTTAAGGGCTTATCTAGGTTAATTACGTTAAGTTATTTTTAAGAAATCTAAAGGGAGCTAATAATATTGACCATAGCAGTTTAAAAACAAACATACAAAATTTCCATCCAAGCTAAAATAAGAAAAATAATTTGAATATGTATTTTTGTCTTCAACTAGAAGTAATCCTAAAAAACAGTGCTATCCTCTGTATTATCTTTCAGCTAAATAATAATAATCATTCACATTACAGCTCTTAATTTACCTCCTGATTTTGTAAAACAATTTTGTTAATGACCCATTTCTATGTGCTTCCCTTAAAGTACCTAAGAGACAAGAATGCAGAGCTTGAAGAGAAGTTCAAGGACACAGATGTACCAATGCCAGATTACTGGTGTGTAAAATAAGCTTAATAATAGCAAATGTGTTTATATTTAACCAGAAGCATTATACTTACTTTTTTTTTTCTCTCCAGGGGTGGATACATTGTGAAACCCTCCCTGATTGAGTTTTGGCAGGGTCAGACTAACAGATTACATGATCGGATAGTCTTTTTGCGGCCAAAAGGGGGAGAGACCGAGCTGGGGGACATGCAGCATCAAGCAGAGGGAGGCTGGATTTACCAGCGCTTGTCCCCTTGATAGTCCACATGCTGTGAAGTCAACGTTATAGTATGTGACATCAATACATCATCATTATTTCTTGGCAGTAACTGTCATTTAAAATCCCACCAGGGCAATGTTGAAGATTTATCACTCCATCAATGTCCTGCGTTCATGTTGTCTTAACCAGAATCAGAAAGGAAGTTTCATCTGTTGATAACTGTAGATGTGGTTTTATGAATAGAAGTCATGTTGTGCTATAAATGAAGGCTATTTCATGAAAAAACTAATATTTGCTGTTTATTAACTCTGCCTCAAAAAAGACTATCAAAGATGTAGCAGACTTTTTTTTCCTCAGAAAATGTAAAGGGGATTTTTGGCTAAAAATGTGGTTCTTGGTGATTTCTGAAAGTCTAACGCCACTTTTACAAAAGAGAAAACAAAATCACATGCAGTGGAAAAGAAATGCATAATAATTTAATATAATAATGTTATAAATGCATGTTAATTACATTAATCTAATTATTTATTTTGCCTCTAGATACCTCTAAAGATGCCAGTAGCAGATGACTTTATTTAATGAATCACCAAAGACCACAGTTTTGACAAAAAAAAATTATAATCTCTTCTAATGTACAAACAGTGTAATTTTGGATGGCCCAATGTTGAGTAAAGCTAGTTTACATTTTCAAGTGAGCCTTTAAGCCTTTAAATGACCTTAGTATTCTTAGTTCAGTCTGTTGACTGTCTGATGGTTATTCATAATAGAAAAGCACAGCTGTACTTGACACAGCAGTCACAACTGTAGTTTCAGAGAACAGACTTTGGACTTCTGTCACAACAAACAAAAAAAATAAGAAAAAAGCAATCAACATGTTGATGTACTTAATGTGTAATCTAAATGTGAAATATTTGATTAGGTTGTTTGTTATAAATGTGCCAAACTTCGAGCTAATCTAAAATACTTGCTGTATTGACATTTTGTGTTAATGTGCAACCAAAAAATGAGTAAACCTGTTTCATTTTTCCAATGATGTTCGTCGTGTTTTTGTTTCGCCAGCAGATGGCGGCGTTGTTTGCTGTTTATTGCAATACCAGGCAATTACAATGAAAATAAAGTAGCAAATGTATAATAGAACAATGCAAATATAACCCTTTGCACAAAAATAGAATAACAATTTTAAAGAAGTATTACAATGGTATGTCATAGAGAAATATGGTGTGAAAGAAAAAAAGACAATAAAATGAAAGAGATGAAAAACTGAAGAAAAAAACACATGAAATACAAATGAATGCAAAACATTTAATAAAGCTCATATTTTAGAAGCTTCAATTGCTATCTTGTTATGGGACTCTGAAATGGTATTCAAATACATATCCAATTCTCCTTTAATTTACATTTAGTATATTTACACTTGTGTGTTAAAGACTTTCCAATAAATAATATTAGGTTTATGCAAAAACTTGAATGGGGGTACAGAAATCAACTAATTATTATTACTAAAAAGCATACAAATCTTAAAAGAGATGGCCATGCAAACTATATTCATTTATTTTATAGATATGGGCACGGTGTGTTTGCTGTTGATACTTTTAATCTACAGTCTTATGCAAAAGTTTGTCCACTTCTGATGAATTTCATAATTGCAAGCCGTGGCCTGCTGGCATTTCAAATAAGTAAATTCATTTGAGTATTTATACTCTAGACAGAGTCTAGGGAAAAGGCAAAATTTCAGTTCTGACATAACATGTATTTAATCAACAAATGCAATGCAATTTAAGTCTTAACAAAAACAGTGCAAAAAATTGGGCACCCTAACAGATACTGGGTGGAATTCATGTGACCTTTAACTCTGACAAAGTTTCCTGTATCTGCACATCCACACAGCATGATGGCCCCTTCAGCATATTTTACAGTAGGGAGCATGTTCTTTTTCTGCCATGTAAAGCACCTATGTTTGTGGCATTTGTCCGCTGTATATTTTTTCTAAATGGTTCAGGCTTGTCCAGGTGAGCCTTTTCATTCCTCGTCTTGTTGGCAGAATGCAGAAAAGTCTTCTTCCGCATCACCTTCCATTGAGCTGTTCTTTGTGAAGAGTGCTCTGAACTGTGGAACCATATACAGTGACTTTATCAGCAGCAAGATGTTTCTGAAGCTCTTTGGCGGTGGTCTGTGATTTGTCTGTGACCATTCTAACCATTCTTCGCCTTTGCCTTTAGGGTATTTTTCTCGGTCTAGCACATCTTTCCTCAGAAGAAATGTTCCTATAGGCTTCCATTTTCTTTTTATATTTCTGACTGTGGAGAAGGAGACTTTGAACCTCTTTGACAGCCTTTTGCAACCTTTTCCTAATTCATGAAAGTGAATTATCCTAGTTTTTAGGTCATTAGGAAGTTCTTTTGAGGTTCCCATGTTGCTACCTTCAGGTTCACAATAAGGAGAAGCACAACTAGCAATCAGCTATCATAAACATCCCTTTTCATGATTGGTTGCTCCTCTGTAGGGATTAAGTCATCCAAATCAATTTTGTGTAATCAATCAGCATTAAGTGACTACAGGTTTTGAAATCCACACAAAGGAGAGGGTGCCCAAACTTTTGCGTAGCCTGTTTTTCAGTTTCAATTTAATTTACACATCTCAATACTGCGACACTATGGATTTCTGTCTGAAAAACATGACATTCTGTAGATTCTTTAGATATCGAATGGCATTTCACTTCTCTTATAAAGAAAGAACACATAACTAAGCAGCCACAGAGGGATGCCCAAATTTATGCATAAAACTGTAAACGCTTTATGACATTTAAGCAATGGAATACAAATCTTTATTTTGCATATTTTAACAATAACCTGTGAAATTGCAGTATACAAAAAAAAAAACGCAGATTAAATTAAGCTAATTAAAGCTGTAGTGAGAGCATCTCTCTCGTGTTATCACATTGGCTGTCCATGCTTCAACTGAAACCCTTTTTATGATACACTGATAAAATTAGAGATATGTTCATTAAACAACTCCATGTTTATGAGAGTACAACTTGGTCAAAAGAAACAAAATCACGTCATGAAGTGCTGATTAAAAGGCACAACAGTCCATCAAATCTAAGCTTCCCACAGGTTTATCATAAGTTACTCATACACAACAATGTACATTTTTAAGAACGTTCTTCATGTTAAATGTAATTTAGAAATGAATAGAGAGAGTTCTGTCTTTCTTGTCGGGTATTTTGTTTGTTCCACGGCGATCGAATTACATTTCATGAGCATGACAACATTGTTTTTATCATTTACAGGAAATAAACTTCTTAATATTCATCTTGGGCTGCTCTTAGATTGAAATGTGGATGGTAAAACTTGTTTTATGGTAAAACCAGTATCTTCTCTGCAGCAAAAATGCACTGAAAAAATGTGTTATATATCAAAAACAGGCCTCAAATGGTGTCTTTGGTCTAGATCAGGGGTGTCCAGACTTATCTTGGAGGGCCGGTGTCCTGCATAGTTTAGCTCCAACTTCCTTCAACACACCTGCCTGAAGTGCATACCAAGAAAGAGCTTGATTAGCTGGTTCATGTGTGTTTAATTGGGATTGGAACTATAATATGCAGTACACCGGCCCTCCAGGACCTAGTTTGGACACCACCTGATCTAGATGTTATTGTTCCACGTGGCTCTTCTCTGTCTGAGCAGATTCAGGGAAAAGGCTTGGGTTTTCCACCAGAGTTGCACGGATCTTCTTCTTCTCCTTGAACCGGCCTGAATGAGAGACTTTGACGTGACGGCCTTTGGTGGCAGATTTGGTGGCCACTATTTTTTCCAGTCTGGCATCTAAATTGCTGTCTGCCGCATCATGGTCCAGGTCTTTATTTGCATTGTTGGTGCTGAAGTCTGGCGGTATTTCGTACAGGACTTTCGCCTCTGACTTCTTTTTCTTTAGGAAGGTGAGCTTCCACCATGCAGGGTCAGCCATGACAGGTCTGAAGGAGAGATGGCAAGAGCGAATGCATGTTTGTTAGACAGCTAAAGGATAAAGATTTTGGTTAAACTCATTGTACAAACTGGATTCCTGGAGGGCCGCAGCTCTGTACAGTTTTGCTCCAACCCTAATCAAACACAGCTGATCCAACCAATCAAGGTGTTCAAGACTACAATAGACTATTAAGCAGGTGTGAGTTGGAGGTGGTTGGAGGGGAACTATGCAGAGCTGCAGACCTCCAGGAATTGAGTTTGAGACCACTGCTCATAGTATGAATGCAAGCCTATTTGGGTAGTGCATAGCATAATACTCATTTGTCACCAAAAGTTTTTTATTGACAAACACAAAGTAGGTAATAATGTTTGTAAGAATAATTTTTGATGATGGAGAGAGCTTTGCTTTCATTTTTTAAATGTTTTGTAAGCTAAACATGGCAATATGTCAGAAAGATTCAAATGTGTTTCCCACGAGAAACATAGCAGAAACATGTGAATTCATGATAGCAACATGTTAAAGAATTGTCAATCATGTGCTAAAACATGTTAGAAACATGCTAGCAAGATGGTAATTCATGCTTGCCACATGTTAAAGGTGCAGTAGTTGGATCTGCCAAAATGCTATCTGTTAGCATATTATCTTTAAAACACAATCCCTCCCCTGCCGTCTAAAGTCATGCCTCCTGAAATCACAAACACGCACCCTTAAGATAGCCGTAGACAACCCACTAGATCAAGTCATTCGCCAGTTAGAAAACTTTATAGTCCTTTATAATACTACAATTCTGAAGGAAAAACTATTTTATGCAGTATGTTTTCAGTTGTGTAGCAAGCAAAAATTGTCATAATGTGCAATATTTCATGCATGCAAGGATTGTTGGTCTCACTCTTATGCGCTTTGTCCTAAATCGACTACTGTATGCTTAATGGTTGGCTGGTGGGTGCAGGAATTACACTTATTACTAAGCCATACTTGCGTGGTATTTCAGACTGAATATTAAGAGTAGCATGGTAAACAATAAAGGGAGCGTCACATGCTGTCATTGTTCAAAAATGAACCAATGTCAATATAAAGCCAACTATAAATATAAAGCTCAGTAAAGTAAAGTTCGAATAGCAAATACATTATTAATGCTGTAAAAGGTCTCTTCAATATTTCGCAGGAGAATTTCAATGGTTGAACAACACTTCTGTGCATATAACCCATTCGTAAAACAACAAAATCTACATCAGCTTTACTTGACTACAATAGTTTTAAAACAGAGCATTACCTGTCTAAAAGACTTCAGCCATGGTGTCATCCTTCCTCCAGTGTGCAAAAGTAACTCCCATATTGATTCAAGATTTTTAAAAGCTTTGATTCAGCATTTGTTTTTACCGCTGTCACTCTCATGTATGCACGTGAACATGCCGCACATGCACATGCAAACAGCATATCTGCGTGAACGCAGTGCACAGATGTACAAATCTACATTTGCTGACAGACAGTTTGGACTACTTATGAGAATTATTGTAATTATTGAACCAATAATTTTTAATTGGATGATTTTTTTTTATTCTCATGCCTTACCCAGAATATAAAAAAATATAAATACATTTAGATCATTTACTTTAATCATTACTATTATAATGTAAGGAGACTTTCAACCAGCCCAACAAAAAAAAAATTTCAGAAGTCTGCGCCAGTGGTGTCGTGGTTAGTGCGTCAACACATGCACTCTGGTGCTCACGTCGACCTATGCCAATCCTTACCCTCTCTCTGCTCCCCTGCTTTCCTGTCAATAATCTGTTCTATTCTATACATTAAAGGTGAAAACCCAAAAAAAAAAATGTTTCTGAAGACAGTAACCTACTGCACCCTTAATAATACACTGACCCGTGTTAATGAAGCTAATAATATGCTAAAAAGCACTGTGAGGACATGATAGCAGCATGTCCAATAAAAACAAACATATTTCAGCTTGGTTGTAAATTTGCTTGTTTTTGTTGAAATGCTGCTACCATGTTACAATCACAGCTAACACATTTCCTCATGCTTACATATTACTATATTATGTTTGCTAAAGTGTTTAGCATGTTTATCATTCTGCTAACATAAATAAGCTTTTTTTCTAACAAGTTTTAGCATATAGCTAGCATGATGTTGCACTAATTAAAGTGATAGTTTACCCCCCAAAAAAGATTTAAATGATCTCACTATTTACTCACAATTTGATTACAAACCTTTATGAGAAATTACATTTTTCTGTTAAACACAAAAGAAGATATTTAGATAAATGTTATAAACCATTGAAATCCATAGTAGCAAAAACATTCATTCATTTTATTTTCAGCTTAGTCTTTTTATTAATCTGCCACAGTGAAATGAACCGTCAACTAATCCAGCATATGTTTTATGCACCGAATGCCCTTCCAGCTGCAACCCATCACTGGGAAACACCCATAAAGTCTCATTCTCAGTCATACACTATGGCCAATTTTAGCTTACCCAATTCACCTATAGCTCATGTCCTTGGACTTGTGGGAGAAACCGAAGCACCCGGAGGAAACCCACGCAAACACGGGGAGAACATGCAAACTCCACACAGAAATACCAACTGACCCTGCCGAGGCTCAAATCAGCGATCTTCGTGCTGTGAAGTGACAGCGCTACCCACTGTGCCACCATGCCACCACAGTTATACAACTAATATTATGGAAATCAATGGTTACATGTTTGCAACATTTTTCAAAATATCTTCTTTTGTGTTTAACAGAACACCAAATAAAGAAATCCAAACTGGTTTGTGACACATAAATGATTAAATGGTGACAGAATGATCAGTTTTAGCTGAACTATCCTTTTAAGATGATGTCAGCATTTTTCACACATGGCTATCTCATTTTTGTCATACCTAGCATGATTTGTATGGTACATTTGCACAATTAGCACAATGCTAACAAATAGCTTTTGTAGACACTGTTAGCATATCTTAGGTTAGTTGGATTTGCTGGAGATGGATTAGTATAATGTTCGACTCAAGCCAGCATATAAGAACAACATGAGCATGCAGGCACATTTGCCCACTTCAGCACATTCGAAGCTAGTTTTCAGTGATGTCATACATGTATCTCCTCATCTAATGATTAGATTAGAATAACGTGAGGACACCTGACTCTCCCGCTTAGCTGTTTAATTAATGAACAGCGCCACTGGATCTCTTGTCACTCCCCTGAGATCTGAGACTCACCAAAATAACACTGTGTGAACCACGGCGCATGAACGTCAGCACAATGGACAACTTTGTGTTTCGTCTCACTCCAATAAGAGTATCAAATTGTTATGTAATATTGCTATTGTACACATCACAAAGCATGTACAATGATTTACCCATTGTAATAGCAAACAGGAGACTCACACACCCACACACTGGTGACTGGTATCACACTACAGGGAGTGTCATCTGGTGCCTTGGCAACATTGTCATAATCATTGTTAAATAGAGAGTATCAATGAACATGTGATGGCTTGTCCTGCGGGGTTTTATAGCATTGCTGTGCGATAAGAGTTTAAGTATCAGATCTCAAGTGATCTTTAGAAGCTTCTAGTAAACACACCCTTCACAAAGTGTCTGCAATTTTTCTTTATGACGGTTCAATTATGTAAACAAGACAGTGTCTCCTCATGAATCTGTGTTCATTGCAAATTCTACAAACTAAGACTTTAGGCTGGATTTCTTTTTCAGAAAGATACATATCTACCTACCTACCTACCTACCTACCTATATACCCACCCACCCAATACCCACCCACCTACCTACCTACCTACCTACCTACCTACCTAACCACCCACCCACCTACCTACTACCTACCTACCTACCTACCTACCTACCTCTATCCATCCATCCATCTATCTGTCTGTCTCTGTATGTCTGTCTGTCTGTCTATCCATCTATCTATCTATCTATGTTCGTCTGTCCATCCATCCATCCATCCATCCATCCATCCATCCATCTATCTGTCTATCCATTTACCTATTTATCTGTCTGCCTGTCTGTCTGTCTATCTGTCTATCCATCTACCTATCTTTATCTATCTATCTATCTATCTATCTATCTATCTATCTATCTATCTATCTATCTATCTATCTATCTATCTATCTATCTATCTATCTATCTATCTATCTACATTCATCTGTCCATCCATCCGTCCATCCATCCATCCATCCATCTATCTATCTATCTATCTATCTATCTATCTATCTATCTATCTATCTATCTATCTATCTATCTATCTATCTATCTATCTATCTATCTATCTATCTATCTATCTATCTACATTCATCTGTCCATCCATCCGTCCATCCATCCATCCATCCATCCATCTATCTATCTATCTATCTATCTATCTATCTATCTATCTATCTATCTATCTATCTATCTATCTATCTATCTATCTATCTATCTATCTATCTATCTATCTATCTATCTATCTATCCATTTACCTATTTATCTGTCTGCCTGTCTGTCTGTTTGTCTGTCTGTCTGTCTGTCTATCTGTCTATCCATCTACTTATCTTTATCTATCTATCTATCTATCTATCTATCTATCTATCTATCTATCTATCTATCTATCTATCTATCTATCTATCTATCTATCTATCTATCTATCTATCTATCTATCTATCTATCTATCTATCCATCTGTGGATGGGGACAGACTAGCAGAATTTACTATAAAAATAAAATTTGACGAAGTGGATTGGAACAGAATCTAGCTAAAAGTGTTGTTCATTTAATCAAATCATTATTTGTATTATTAAAAGGCTAAAAATATTTAAATATTTAAATTCTGCATGTTCTGCATTGGAATCTGTGAACAAATTGTGTATTTTTATTTTATTCTTACTGAATAACTTATTTTTTAACTTTTCATTAGAATTGAGTGCACAAAAAAAGTAAATAACACTTAAATAACGCCACAGTATCTGCCAATGGCAAAATAAGGGGGCATTTTGAACACAAGGTAACCTTGTTATAAAGTAACACACACTCTTCACTGGATTTGTTACTGATCTTCTGCAATTACATAATGACAGGATTCAGTCACTTTTAGCAGCAGCTCCTACTCTTTCACCTTAATTGCACTCGGTTTTTTGTGGTAAGTAGTTTGTCCATGTCTGCACGGGAGATCTTATTGCGCTCTGAAAATGACTGCAACTTTTAATCCTGGGAATCAGGTGCTTTCCTCAGCTAAGTTGTGTAAAGGCTAATTTATTGCTTTTATTGTTCATACGTAATGATAATGTCACATTATGAGCCACAGCATGCATACGGCACATGTCAGATTGATTCTTTCCTTAAAAGATCAATAAAAATGTCTGACTGCCAAAAAAGGAATGAATTATGAAGAATTAAATATAAAAATGTAAATAATAACAGTATTTTCATTTATATATATATATATATATATATATATATATATATATATATATATATATATATATATATATATATATATATATATATATATATGCACATTTTCGTTGTTTAAACTTTTTTGATCTTTTGCTCAAAATATGTTTTTAAATATACTGCTTTCATTGTGGAAAAAATTTTAACTAAATTTAAATTAAAATTAAAATATTAAAACTAATATTATTGACAAGTGTCCCAATTATTACTCATAAGAATCTCTTTTTAAAAAATGTTGTAACCCTATACGGACAAACCCAACATTGGGTTAAGGTTTTTCATTAATGGGAATAGTTTACCCAAAAATGAAAAGAAGAAGATAAAGATATTTTGGAAAATGTTGGAAACCTTTAACCACTGACTTCAATAAAAGGAAAAAGAAATACTATAACACTAAGTCAATGGTTCCATGTTTCCAGCTTTCTTTAAAATATCTTTTGTGCTTAACAAAAGAAAGAAATTCATCAAGGTTTAAAATAAGTAAAGGGTAAATTTCAAAATTCGGTTCAGTATATCCTAATCGCGCGTCCTATTTTTATGCCCCATATAGTGACACATACATTTCCAAAACCTGACAGGGGGATAACTAACACACTCTGCACTAGACTTTAGACCAGCTTTTAGTTGGTCAAAGACATGGTCTATTTTACTTTCTCAAAATAGCAATGCACCAACATTGCGCATAATACACCTCCTTATATATATAGACCAGCACACCCACGAGTCTACAAAGTAGCGCAAATGGATTTGCTATTTAAACAACGTGGAGCAAAATGTAAAAATAAGGGTTGCGCTGCTCTGAAAATAGCAACAAATTGCACTATACACGTCCTGCGCCTTATTGTGCCAGGTGTATGATAGGGCCCTAAATTACACTTTTTAATCCAAAGGTTGAGTTTATTTGACCCAGCACTGGGTTACAACAACCCAGCATTTTTATAGTGTTTAAACTCAATTTTGAAGTATATTCCCATTGATGTTTTACATTTTTCTAGTGTGATTAAGAACAGAAAACTGTTCAACCATGTAAATATGAAGCAACACAAGGGCCAAAGGCACTCAGTCTTTCATCACAATGGGTAAAAATAAAACATGGCTGTGAATTGAAAAAGTTGTTGAGTTTTACAAAATGGGAAGTGGCTGTGAAAAAATAGCAAAAAGACAGAAAATGCCCATTTTCACCATCAGGACAATGATTTAGAAATTCCAGTCAACTGAAAGTGTTATATGGTAGAGGTTATATGTTATATGGCTCAAAAAAACTTCAAAAATCACGACTGTTTAGATATAGGGGTTCTACAACCCCTAAAAATTCTACAAAACTACAATCCCATATCACCTACATCACAACAAATAGTTTAAGGATCTCGTCCAAAACCAAACTCAAGCATCTTCTTTTCCTTATTTATTTATTTATGTTTTTGGATAATATTTTGAGGAAAAGATCAGAAGGTTAAACAATAAAGCCGTTTATTCACAACCTTCCACCAGTGGTGCCAAAATTAAAGGAGGGCACTCTACATATCAGCAGCTGATTCTTGAAAGTCGTCTGACCTTCAACAAGAAGCTCTGACACTCAGAAGTTAAACACTCAGAGCTGGATAATAAGTTACTTTGTCTTCCTCCTTATGTGGCACTCGAGATGCTCAGAGATCACAGAGAGAGAACACTGAGTCTGTCTGAAGCTAGGAAATAACTAACCAGGTTCAAAGCCTACCCGGTGATACGAGTGTTTGTGGGAAGCAGAGGTTAACCTGAGGGCAGCAAGTCTTATGGAGTCAGAGGGTGTCACGTTTGCCTGCAAGTCTATGCCTGGACGTCATATCACTGCAGTTTGTGTCCCGAAAATTACATGTCTCGTGTGGAAATATGACATGATATTTGATTTTAAAGACCTTCACTTGATCATTTGTTGCAGTTTACAAGGAAATAAATACATATTGTGTGTAGCATTATCTTTTATTCTCCCTCATGAGGTTTTAAACCTTTATGAGTTTCTTTCTTCTGTTGAAAACAAAAGAAAAGGGCTGGGCTATTAATCTAAAAGTAAACGAATTCAACATTCGGAACCTATAATCAATCTAATTTTTCCAGTAAATTATTTTCAATTACTTTCCTTACTTTTGTCTATTTCCCTTGTGAAGTCATGTGATCCTGTGCTGTTAAGGCAGTGAACGCACTGGTATTGTCCCGCACAGCCTTCATTAAAATGTAACTACACGTAGTATGTTTGCATTACATTGATGATGATTGTAAGCTGTGCCAGAGATGTCTTGAGATGACATATTTTCCCATTAAAATAAAATGATTATTTACATTAAAAATATATTTTACAGAACATGCAAGAAATGCACTGTTTAAAATATTATTTACTAATGTAAAAGATGCAAACAACATTTCTTCATTCAAAATAGATTAGAGGATTGAAATGAAATTTAGATGCTTTATTTTAGTTATTTTTAACCCAAAGGACGAATGGTGTATGCAGATTTCTAAAACTGCAGGAGAGTTAAAATGACTCTGCGGTTATTGATTGTTTTAGTATTTATTTTAATTAAAGGGGTGGCTCAGTGAGTATCGCTGTCGCCTCACAGCAAGAAGGACGCTGGTTCGAGTCCCGGCTGAATCAGTTGGCATTTCTATGTGGAGTTTGCATGTTCTCCCCGTTCGTTGTGGCGACCCCTGATCAATAAATGATTAATTTCGATGTTTTTTTTTATTGTATGTACAGATACTGTCAAATCTGACAACTTTAGCCAAAGTAAATAATAATTGTTTTATATTTTGTCTTATTTCAAGTAACGTTTTTGTGCATTTAGTTTATTGTAATACGTTACTGTCATATACAAAAATCTCACAAGACATAATGAAAACTTAATGGATAGTTTTAAAAACATTCTTCGTAAGGTATTAAACCTTTATGAGTTTCTTTTTTTCTGTTAACCACAAAAAAGTATTTTGAAGAAAGATAAAAACCTGTAACCATTGACTCCCATAGTAGGGAAACAAGTACTATGAAAGTCAATGATTACAGGTTTCCAGGTTTCTTAAAAACATCTTCTTTAATGTTTAACGAGAGAAAGAAAGTCAAGTACGTTGTAAGCAAGTGCAGGCTGTACAAATGACAGAATTCTAATTTTTTGTGTGAACTATCCCTTTAAGATCCTGACAGGGTAAAGCATCCTCCTCACCTGAAATGTTGTTTCTCTCCTCTTCGAAAAGTTGTCTTTTCTCTCGCTGGCTTTAGAAAAACAGGTGTCCAGGAGAAGTTAAACCATGGTGGCCGTCGTTAATCGTCAGTCCTCCTCAGTATTAAGTATCTCTGCTTCTCCTTGTCCTGCTCACCTGTTTTCTTCCCGGGCTTTGATGACTCCAGCAGCCTCTGAAATTGCGCTTTGAGAGGCGAGTGTGCGCTACAGGTGTCCTCTTTCCCCTCAGTCCCTCTGTCTTTATCAGCTTCTACACACAGCCTCACACAAACGCAGTGTTTCAGGCCAGCTGAACTTTAGGTGCAGCTCAGCTCAGTGCAACACGAGTAAATGTTACCGCCATGTGATCGAGAGAGGGAGGGTGAAGCAATACGAGTGTGTGAGCGACCTCAGCAAAGAGTCCAGCGCGGGTCAGCCTGAAAACACCCGGTCAGATTTACCAAAATTCTATGCAAATTCTATATGCAGCTCTGGACAGTTTTGTTATGTGCGTTTTGTAATAGACATAAAAAATCAAAACAGTCATGAAGTCAGAATTTCGTTGTTGATGCACTGTAGCAATTAGTGTCTGTACATTTACAATAGCCACACCGTTTTAAATAGTTTTCCTCATATTATTATGTTCTTCTCCACTGAAACATAAATATTCATTTCAGCAGCGCTTGCATAAATTTCAGATTCATATCTTTAATTCATATCTTATAAATCTTGATTAATACCTAATATAAGTTATCTTATAAATTACAATTTAGTCTTTTAAACAATATATTATTTATTTATTGTTAAAAATGTATTCTTTTTGGGGGGGGAAAGGGGGGCTGTGAGCGGGTGTTTTGTAAATTTTACAGTATGTAAGAGCACAATGTTTTCATTGTACAATTGTTAAACTTACAATGTCTAGATATTTAGATGCAAATTTTCACAAAAATTATAAAATAATGCCTCATTTGCATATTCAGATTATATATATATATATATATATATATATATATATATATATATATTTACATACATACATATATATATATATATATATATATATATATATATATATATATATATATATATATATATATATACCCTTGTGGAGGAAACCGGAGGCTCGAACCAGAGTCCTTCTTGCTGTGAGGCAAACATGCTACCCACTGCACCACCGCCTCGCCCTACAGTATATATATATATATATACACACAACAGTTCTGTCTGGTTTTTGAATCAGTGAATCACTGTTGCTCAAACTAAATTTAGGATTTTTACATTTATGATTTTTGTATGATTTGACTATTTGTTTTACAAAAATAATAATTACTCTTCAAGGTTCTGAAAGTGGGGCCCACCTGGGATGGTCACGTGGGGCCCAAAAACAAGAGTCAGCTGCAGATGTGAAGGAATGGCGGAAGAAAGTAGTTCCTAATACAAAAGGGTTTTTAGGCTCTGACTTTCTTCTTTATACACACGAGTATGCCATCGAACTGTTGTATAAATGCAATATCACACTTGTAGTGGTGCCATATGGCTGTATATCATCCCTGGTGGGACATTAAGACACTCGGCCTGCAGCCTCGTGTCAATATACAGCCACTTCGCACTGCTACTTGTGTGATATTTACCTAATTCTGTTCCAGTAGAGCTGTTTGTCAAACAAAATTTAGGATTTTTACATTTATGATTTTTGTAGTTTATGGATGACTATTTGTTTTAGACAAAATAATTACTCTTCAAGGTCTTGAAAGTAAATGAACTAAACAAACTTGATGAAGAAATCCAAAGCGATCTGTGACTCAACGTCAGGCAGTAGAGGTGTGTGTGTGGGGCGCGCGGGTATATTTTTTTCTGCGCACATACTCAGTTTCCTTTTTGATTAAACTACATTGCTTTCGTCGGCGTTAGTTCGATTGCACATAAAGAATAACATCTTTACTCTAGGATTACCACTCTTAATAAATACACTTGCAAATAAAGTAAATCGTACCGATTTTTACTGTGGCACGTGCCCTGAATCCATCAAGATGAGATGGCCCATGTGGGACCCATCTGGGATTGCCCATGTGGGACCCACCTGGGATGGCCTGTTTGGGACTCACCCGGGATGGCCTATGTGGGACCCACCTGGGATTGCCACAGTGACCACAGTCACCCATCATCTAATAGCTACTTCCAGCAGGATAACAGGCCAATATGGACCAAAATCTCTGAGGAATATTTCCAGTAACTTGTTGAATTTATGTCCTGAAGGATTAAGACAGTACTGAAGGCAAATGGGGATCCAACCTGGTACTAGTAAGGTGTATATATATAGGATGCCCATGCGGGACTCAATACTTGGTAGAACCAATTAGGCCCCATTTCTAATATTTGTCCATGTGGGACCCATCTTACCGGGTCCACCTGGAATGGCCAGTATTATTATTTATGATAATACTTTACATTTAAGTACAGCAGTTTTCTTTTAACTTTTTAAAAACAGTGCCATTTTTAATTAACTTTTAAAATCACATTTTAATTTAAACGTTGAAGTCTTATTTATTTATTTATTTATTTATTTGTTTGTTTATTTATTTTAACCTGTAAGTGTGTTATTGTTCAAACTATTTTTTATGTTTTAAGTGCCTGAAAATAGCTGCTTAATTAGACCTACTATGTATTTTAATACCAGTCATTATGGTGCACTCTCATAAATTAAGGATTCGCGAGCTGTCACTGGTGTGTTACCTGTTCAAAAGGTACAAGTTTGTACCTAGAAGGTCCTTATTAATACCTCAAGGGTATATATTAGTACATAAAAAGTACAAAATTGTTCCCCTTAATTTTTTTAGGTACTAATACATACTTTTGAAGTACCAATATGAACCCTTTAAGTACAAATGTTTACCTTTTGAAAAGGTACCAACCCAGTGACAGCTCGCGTACCTTTATTTCTGAGAGTGTGATACTTGGAGAGACTATTTTTTCTGAGGTGGTACTTAGTGGAAAAAGAATGACTGGTATAGACCAAATAAAATAGTTATAATAGTTAAAATTATGTTTTAAACAGCACTTCACAAATATCTGATAAATAATTTAAATTTCACAGAAAAGCTAACACATAAGCACAGTGTGTCACAAATAACACTTCAATAATTGTTTACAATTAAGTAAATATTATAAAGTTTTATTAATCTTGCCATACTGCAAATAAAGACCATGGCACACATTTCACATTTAAAGTCTTGGTAACACTTTATAGTAAAAGTACATGAATAATGATGCGTTCATTTGTAAACTAAACATCACTTTATTAATGACAAATGATGAGCTAAGGCATGTGCTAATCAAGAACTAACTTGAACTACAACGCAAGTCACAAAAGTTCATGTGTGAATAACAGCTAAACTGTAAAAATATCTGTAATTTAAGTTTTTTTTTTTTTCGGCACCCCAGCTTCTGGAAATAAACCGTAAAATTACGGATTTATTTTACAATGTACCTTAATTACTTGTTAATTGTTTGTTAATTAATGTATTAATTACCACATTAGTTTATGCTTAATTTAACCATCATGAACTCATGACATGTTAATGTATAAGTATATAATGACTTTACTTGGAGGGGCAAATCAACATTCACCCATTCTTAACTACTCATGAACTCCTTATGCACATCTGTCTATAGCGTTTACGCTGAATAATAATAGAAAAGTGTTCAGTCACATCAACATGAACAGTTTAAACATAGGAGTTGAGTAGTGAGTAGTTAAGGATGAGTTAATGGTGATGTGCCCCTCCAGGTAAAGTCATGGCTTAATTATACATTAACAGCTCATGAGTTCCTGTTGGTTGCATTTAGCTTAAATGCTAATTAATAAATTAAATAACAACATGTACTAACAAGTAATTAAGGTAACCATAATTTACTGATGAACTCTTGTGACTCATGTTTTAGTTAAAGATAGTTCATGATTAGAGCATGGCTTAACTCATCATTAATTCATAATAAAGTAATATTTAATTGACATATCAATGCATGATTATCCATGTACTGTTATTGTAAAGTGTTAAGTCTTTGGATAATAGCAGTGTGTTTTTGTATAACAGCACAAGGCTGCTTATCACCTTGCTCACTATTTCACCTGTGGTGTTTATTAAGATCAGATGAGGCTCACATTTGGATAATGTGGGGAAATCACTGGATCCTCAGCTCAGATAGGAGCATATTTGAATGTCATTCAAAATGTATTAAAATAAAGCACTGCCTTTGGTTCCCCTTAACTGATACATCCTTTGTGCTTCACAAGACCATAAATAAGCTTAACCGATTTAGGATTAAAATTCGGATTTCTGCTCTCTGCAAAGATGAAATGGTCTTTAGAGGTATTAAAACAGCTCTGCCTGGAGTACAATGTAAGTCTCTTTTCAAAGGGCTCTCTTGGGTAAGCTGGTTATAAAGTATAGTGCTGCAGAATTTGCTCAAGATAGCCAAACTAAGCAGAACTACAATCCTATCTTTGATGTTAACATTGCATAATGTGTCATACTGGCCTTTATTGTCATTCTTTGCGAGTTTAAGAAATACTTGCCTGTTTCTGTCAACCCTGGAGAAACTTGTTGCAAATACTTGAAACTTCAAATTTACAGTTCCATTGGCTGGCATAGTATGGCAAGCTGTTAGGACATTTGATCTAATTGTGACCATATTATATTGTTTATGTACTAGTAGTTGTTCTTTAGGTATAATAATAATTATAATAGATACTCATACTTATTTAAAACGCCATTTTCCATTCTAACAAGTCATATCAAGACAAGTGAGAAAGCAAATCTGACTATTGTTAGTAATCAGGGCTTGACATGATGAATACTCGCCAGCCCGCCAAAAACGGGTATTTCAGCTGTGGCGTGTTAGAGAGTCACTCCCACTTGTCCTTTTGTCTGGTTGAAGATAATTTTTTAATTGTAGTTTTCTTAAAACGCAGTTCAATAATAAGGATTGCCCAATGAGGGGGCAGAGTGAGAGATGGTGTGAGCAAAAGAAAGCAGTTGAAAATCGAATTAGATGATAATCACGCTCATGGTGAGACCTCTGCGATCCTGACACACTGACAAGATTTCAGGTGGTGCGATAGGCGCAAGTGTTTAAAAGTTTTAAAATGAAACGGTTCATTGTGCAAAGCATCCATGCCTGGAAAAATAACTGGTGCGGACGGTTCTCTTTTTAAAAAATTGGACAAAAGTGACACTCGTGCACCCACAGATCTGCTGTTTTCAAGAGCTCCAGAATATTTAAAGGTCTTTTTGTAAGCTGCAGGTTGCTTTTGCTTAATCTTTTCATGTGATCATCCTTTCATTGGTGGTATGTTTTTCACCTGCTTTCTTTTGCTTACTGTTATTTTGGGCTAAGAATTATTATTTTTATTTATTTATTTTTAATTTTTAAATTTTTTTTTTTTGAGAAAATTTAGTAAATCCTTAGTGTTGAGCCCTGAAAAGTCCTGAGAAATAAAAACTAATGCACTGCGACACCACAGCCCATTTGCTCATGCTCATTGAGCAAGTCATATACAAAACAAATAAAGTGAAATAAATGAGGAGGGATGTGGACATTACACACAATCTTAAGTCATTTTAGGACGCTATGAAGTCAATTTCATGCATATAAACTATATTTTCCCAATAACAGAATTGCAGGTAGTGAAAATGGCATGTGGCTATAATGTTGGAAAACTACCAGCCACGATGGCTGGTGATCAAAAAAATTTTATGTCAAGCCCTGTTAGTAATGATTACAAAATATAATGTTGTCTAATAAATATGTTGTACCGAAGAACCAGCGTCTGATAAACACTACTATTTATTGAATGTTTATTGGGGCGTCAAAATGCAGGGTTTTTTATTATCCAATTTTGTGTCAAATATGGACAAATTAATAAACTATTAATCAATAAACTATTTATGTTTAAAAAAATTGACAGAAGTCTTTATATAAACTTTTATTGCAAAACATTACCAGCTCCTAGTGAAATAAGTAGTTTCTAATGAATAAGTACTGGTAATTACTATGTATTAGTATGAATATGTTACTAATGAAAAATACTATCTGTCTGCAGACGCTTATTTAATATTTACGTGTAATGAATATGCATGTAATGGAAAAGTAGTTTGTTATGAATAACAAGAAGTAATACCTACTTACAATAATGTTAAGATGCTTGTCAGCCTAGTTTTAAAAAAAATAAGTAGGCCTGAAATGATGTCTGTAGGTTTATAAATTGAGTGTTAAAACAGCTTGCCATCAAGGCAGACACATAATAAAGATAAGATTTGCTGTGAACTGGCAAACAGAAAAATCTATAAAACCACCTTGTTCAAATATAACCGAGTAAGAGCTGGCTGTTTAACATAAATGTACATACACATAAAGTGTACATTATAAATTGTGCAAGCAGAAATAAGCACAAAAGTACGATAAAATTATGCTATTCATTGATATTTACTGTCCATTGGCAGGTCTATATGAAATAAAATGCCTACTTATATTTTGTGTCAAGCTAATAAAAAAAGAAGTTGCGCCATCTTGTGGACAATTCTACTTAGCTGTCTCTGATAATAGCCTATATTAAAAAATAACATTTATTTCAGGCAGGCTACTGCGAATAAAAGTGAAATTCGGGGATTAAAATGTATTTATTTGGGTTACTTAATTTTTATGTTATGTTTTTGTAATGCTAACGATGAAAGCATTTGATTGGAGAGTAGGCTATTCATATGTAAATTATAACTTTATAGTTTTGAGTTTTTGTAGCAATTTGAGATGAGTTATGGGCTATAGTGAGTTTGAATATGCTCATTTGACCAGTGTTCAATTTAAACCCTGATAATTCGTGTTTAAAATACAATTAATTAGCCATTCTCTTTTTACCAAATTTGTATCATTGTAAATTGTATATAAGGACATCTATTTTTAATGTCGCAAATATATTTGTGTTTATTATTTATTTATTTATTTATTTATTTATTTATTTATTTATTTATTTATTTATTTATTTATTTATTTTTAATCAATCTACATCAATGTTTCTCCAACAAAGGTCGGAGACCTCGCAAAACAATCTTGTTTATTCATATTTTATAATTTTGATAACAAATATGTCTGTTAATGTAAAAAGAAACAAACCCTTTAAACTACAAAACGAGCCTTTAAAAGGGCGAATAAAATGTGAAGAAAAAAACAGTTGGTGTTGACTTTTATTTTGGCGTTACAAGGAAGTAAATACAGGTTCTTCTATCCTTGCAGTTTATTGGTGTTTCAGCACAAGGATCGTTTGACGCATTAGTGTCATGTCCGTTGATTGGCCAGATGTGGATGTACGTGTCAGTGGAAATGTAAACTTGTGCTGAATCCTGTCGAATTGCTGTACAAGCATGGGGTCGTTTTAGTAATTCTTTTAACAAAATAACGACAGCAACGTTTGCAATGGAGGTAAAACAATAACATTATTAATATCATTATAAATTAAGTCATTTTTTTATCAGACTTCGTACTCTTTGGGTAAAGAAAACTCATCATGTTTAAAGACTCTGACAAGCTGTCATAACTGGATGACTGTTATTTTATTAATAAACATACACTTTTTCAATAATTCCATAATAATGTGTGAAAAGTTGATGTGACTGTTGTTAGCATGTATAATGTACATTTGTTATTAAAAATCTCGTTTAACAGAACATCCAGAATCTTCCTATTGACATCCAAACCAGTAAACTCTTGGGTGAGACTGCTTTATACTCATTTGTGCAGGTTTAACTTAGACTTATTATCATGCGATTTGTAGCTATATTGTTAGCTAAATGTGGCTCAGCTTGAATAAACAACAGCTTAGATCTTGCACAGATGTAATGTCTTATTCCTCTTCTTCTACTTTTTCCTCTTCCTCTCCTCTATATTTTAGACTGGTTGGTGGACCGAAGACACTGCACACTGAAATGGCAAAGTGCAGTTATGACCATCAGAGAGAAAATTAACGCTGCCATTCAGGATATGCCAGAAAACGAAGAGATCAAACAGCTGCTCTCCGGCTCATGTAAAGAAAAAGTTATATATTCCTGTTATTTGTATTTTATTTAATTTTGGATCTACTCATACTGAATTATTGTTGCAGATATTCACCATTTCCATTGCTTACAAATAATCGAAGTATTAAAAGGAACGGAAGCGTCCACCAAAAATATTTTTGGCAGATATTCATCACAAAGGATGAAGGTGCTGTTTATTTGCATTTTAATGTGCAGTTTATTACACTTAACATTGTACATAGTCTACATACTTATTATTACTAATAAAATATCCTCAATTTCTATAACATATACTATGGAAAATAAAAACATGAGACCGCTTAAAAATTCTCAGTGTCTCTGGATTTACAATTTAAAGTTGTATGACTGGGGAAAAACCTAATTTTCATTTTATTCTGTAAACTACTAATAGCTTTTATACCATAATAGCGATATTTTAAATTCAGCAGAGTTAAGGAATAAGTATTTCTAAGTTGTGTTTTTTTCTCTTTGTACTATTTAGAAGAAATGCTGTCAGTTTACTCAAACCCATACCTAGAAATGGCAAAACTCCAGAGAAGCAAAGAATGTTTAAGTGGCCCTTAATGTTTCCATTAATGTATATTTATCAACTCTGAAGTCTGAACTTTACTAAACTTCTATCTTAAGCTGCTTTGACACAATCTACATTGTAAAAGCGCTATATAAATAAACATGAATTGAATTGAATATTTACATATATTTAATTAACTGTAATATACTTTATCAACAGGACTGGCAAGAGATAGTATCCATGTATGAAAAAGACAATGTCTATTTGGGTAAGCAATCATCAAATCACCATTTTTTTTTTTAATTTTAGACTACACAATCAAAGTGAGATGATAGTATGCATGTGTGTTTTTAATTCCAGCTGAAATGGCCAGTATTTTGGTTCGTAATGTGAGTTATGAAGGGCCAGCTTTAAGGAAGCAGGTGTCTAAAGCTCAACAGCTGCAGCAGGAGCTGAGCCGACGTGAGCTGGAGTGTCAGAGCGGTTCTGCCGACTTGAGAGAACGCTATTATGCTGCCTGTAAACAGTACGGCATAAAAGTGAGCTATGATGGTCATTTATTGTAACATAATGGCTTTTACACATACTAACAAATAACATTTGTGTTTCACAGGGGGAAAACGTGGCAAGGGAGTTGCAAGCACAGGTTAAAGATCTGCCTGTGGTTTTAGAAGAAACTGGAAAAAAAGCTGCCTGTCTGAAAGATGCCATAGAGTTTTACACAGCATTCACTAAGTTTGTCAGCGACTGGCAAGTGTTACTTTCATTTCTAATGTTGCACCTGATTCTTTTAATTGATATTGTGAAATGTTTGTCATAGTTTACTTGCTTTTTCAGGTCAGAGGAAGTACTGCCCTTACTGAGGTTTGTCCAGAAGAAAGGAAACACAACTGTATATGAGAGAAAGACTGGAAATGTGCCTAAAGTTGTAGAGAGACCTGTAATGGAGGAAGCACCACCAGATGTTGTTACAGAGGAGACGGTAAGTCACTATTCAAGATTTTAAGTTGTTTTTTTTACTTAAACAAAGGATCAGTATTTTCTCTCCCTCCAGAATCTCACTGTTTTTCTTGGTTCTTGCAGATTGACTGGGGTGATCTTGGCAGCGGTGCTGGTACTGGTAGTGAAGAGGTAAATTTTGGGATTTCAGTTGAGGATGGTGTGGATTGGGGTATTGGTCTTGAGTCTGGTACTGAGGTAAGCACCTTAAATATTTACTACAGATATATTCAGACCCCTCATGACATAGAATTAAAAGGGTCTTCCAATCTACTTTAGGAAACAAGTGGTGGTGGTATTGACTGGGGAGACTCTGAATCTGCCCCATTGGAAATTGAAGTTGTGGATGTGGGCACAGACTGTAAGTTTCCTGAACTTTGGGTGTTTAAAGTTTGTTCATTGAGCAGCAAAATAATAATGAAAGAATTCAGCTTTGGCATTACATATCAAAATGTATGATTTTTTTTTACTTTGAATTGAAATTATATTACACTACTATTGCTTTCATAGTTTTTGAAATACTGTGAATTAGAGAAAAAAGTTTCAAAAACCTTTTAAAATATTACAAATTGCTAACCGTAGTGCACGTTTACATGAAAATAATTTTGAGTTTCTGTCCTTGATAATAAAATAAATCTGTTATTATCAATTAACAAATCTCAAAGAATAGTATTTAATTGATTTTCAATTTAGTAAATTAGTAATATCAGTTAAAACTAGGCATATATGTAATCAGAACTTGGAAGACATTTAAGTCTATTGTGCAAAATATTGCACTGTCTAAAATAGGGCTGCAATATATCGTTTCAGCATCGATATCGCAGTGAGATCATTCGCAAAAGTCACTTCGCAGCATATACAATATTGCATTATTATTATAATTATTATAATTGATCTTTTGCATGTGTTTATGATGCCAATGATTGTATAACTATTTTAAATTTTGACCTTAATTAGGATTAATTTCATTCATTTATTTTCCTTTGTTCCTTTATTAATCTGGGGTCGCCACAGCGGAATGAACCGCCAACTTATCCAGCACGTGTTTACGCAGCGGATGCCCTTTTAACCGCAACCCATCTCTGGAAAGCATACACACACACTTATTCACACTTATACACTATGGACAATTTAGCCAACCCAATTCACCTGTACCGCATGTCTTTGGACTGTGGGGGAAAGCAGAGCACCTAGAGGAAACCCATGTGAACGCAGGGAGAACATGCAAACTACACACAGAAATGCCAAATGACCTAGCCAAGGCTCGAACCAGCGACCTTCTTGCTGTCAGGCGACAGAGCTACCAACTGCACCACTGCGTCGCCAGGATTAATTTTATTTAATAGTTTTTTTTATCATTCACTTACGCTATTTAAATACCGTTAGACTCGGGAAACAATGAAACGCTTTACTTTAATAGTATCTTTTTCTTGACTATTTATAGATTGTTATTCATGAAAATACTTACAACACATGCAAATACAGAAATGCACTGCAAATAACACCACGAAAATGTGTCGGGGGACCATCAAAGTTTATAGATTGTTAACTAGGGTTTATGACAATGCAAATAGTAATCAATTAATCTCTGACCACACACATGCATGAAAATACTCACAGCACATGCAAATACAGAAATGCACTGCAAATAGCACAGACAACAACGAAAATGGGTCGGGGGACCTCAACATTTTTTATATTATATTATTAATTGATTGTTTATTAGATTTTATGGAGATGCACTCCCACTGCAGAATCATCCTAATCGATCTAACATAACAAATACTTTCCAACTAGAGATATTAAGTCATCTGGTGACTTAGATATATATAATTAAATTAAATTAAATTATAAAAATTTTTTTTTCCAATATTGTGCAGCCCTAGTCTAGAATCTAATTCACAGCCTGCAGATTACATATGAGCTGTCATCCAGTTCACAATACTTGTAATTCATTAGCTGCTGTATGGTAATTCTTATTTGAAAATAAAGGTGGGTAAGTAATACTTTGCCTCTTGAAGGTCCTGATGGTGTAGCCAGAGGTGAAGATGCCCTTTCTCTTCTGGAAAACTCACAAACACGTAGCCAGTTCATCAATGAACTAAAGGAGGTACTGTTTTTTACTTACATAAGTATTACACAGACTTTTTAATTGCTACAAGACCATATCAAACTTATGTGATTCTTTGTGTTAGTTGGAAATGTTCCTGTGTCAGCGGCTCAGTGAGATGCGTGAAGAAGGCGACTTGGTGGCCATGAGTCAGTTCCAGCTCGCTCCCTCAGTGATCCAGGCCCAGACACCTCAACGTGTGCAGGTCATGCTGGCAGATGTGCGTGAGCTGCTGAACGGGCTCACTTCAGTGCGAATGCAGCACCTCTTCATGATCCAGGCATCACCACGGTAATTACACACTCTCAAATATCTCACACACTGAGAATGTACTTTTACCCTTGTGTGTTGTTGAGGATGTTTTCATCCACTTTGGTGAGCTTTTGAGTTTTAATTTGGCCACAACTTTCTCTGTTTCAGCAAATGGAAAGATTTTTGGTGACAACTCTTATTTTGACACATTTTTAGGGAAAATGCTTTAAAAAAAATTAACAATCCAGTTAATAAAGCAGCTCAGCTCTCAGATTAGGTGTATTTATGCACACACACTATAATCGGTTCCTTTACTCCATAGAACTCCATTTAAAAGCCAGAAACTTTTTGCCCAAGCCTGTCTAAAGATTTAATGATGCCAATTGATGATCAACAGTAAACAGTACACATTTTACCTCTCCCCAACAGGGAAAACCAGCAACAATCAAGAATGCATGATTATACGGTGTCATGGTTTTGCAACCAAAAAAAGTCATTATAACGGAAGTCAATGGGGCAAAAACAGCCACAAATATAATGAAATGGTGGTAAATTTGAACAATACACAAGGGTTACATTTGTCATACAGTGGGCATCAAATTTAGAGACTACGATTTCCTACATTTTTGAGGTCGCTGTTAAGTCTTGTTTGAAGTTATGCTAAAACAAGTAAAAGATCAGTATTTCAGCATACCTTATGAGTTGCATATATTCTGAAGCCACAAAAGATATACAAATAACAAACCTAAGCCCAGCTCACACAGCCAGGATTTGGTCTTTGAATAATAATCTGTGATCTTTGATCATTGGTTTTGACTTGTTCACCGACAGCCAGTTAATGGCCAATGCCATAATATTTTCAGTCTGATGAAGTTCTGGCAAAGCTGAAGATTTCAGACTGTTTCCTGCAGCATGACCTCTCTTACAGTCAGCATAAAACCAACAACCAATAGGAGCTCTGAATTTGATGATGCAATCAGCACAACAACTTCAAATCCCTTATATTAGTTTATTTTCTGGTTAATTTAAAGGCATGTTTTGATTAAAATCATCATTGATTATGTTTGCTGTGAGTTATCATTTCAGAATGCATAATTAGGTTATGTGTTCCATAGGGAATGTGATATGGATTAAACGATGTTGTCAAACTCATTACAGATGAGTCTTATGCGTCTTTGTGTTTGGCTTGTCTTGATTTTCATTCAGTCTGACATTGACAACTGAGATCTTACAGTGTGACATGTAACACATTTTTAGATTATATTGAAATCTACTCTGCACTGAAAAAAACAGATCTTTTAAAAGGTAACATTGAACAATTTCACAAGAATTGGGCACCCTCTCTCACTTCATGGGGAATTCTTTTCCCCAAAGCAATGTATAATAGATACTTACAGGCTAGTGTTAGGCTGTTCTTTTCTCTCTTTTTTTTTCTTTTTTTTTTCATTTGTTTATGCATATCAGAAAATGAATCCCAGAACTTGTGATTATTGTAAGTCTATTCAATGACCAAATAAAACTTACCTGACCAAAAATAATATAGAATTATTAGAAATCCTGCAGCGTGAGCCAGGCTTAAGAAGATATTTGAAAAAGAATACTGATCAAAAATGACAACACTTTCAGATCATCACAGTTATTGTGTAATCTGGCGGTAATTTCCTCAGTTATCTGACAGTTACTATTTACCTAACAGTCTAAGTTAAAGGTCAAAGTGTTGAACTTTTTATTTTTAAGCAAAATAATTGGTTGTTTCATAACTGTAATTTCTAGAATACTGCATATTTACAATGTCAACAAATTGAATTCCTGAAAAAATGCTGATTGTCCACAACAGACATGTACAAGAGGACAGGAAAATGTGGAGAATATCAATGAGCAGTTGACCCTTCGCAACCCCCACCCCACTTCTCTGTCCGACAAGCTTTCAGTTTCAGCCATTGTCAATTTGTGCACTCCCCAAGGAAATTATAATATCATAATGATTACACACAGAAGGAGACATAAAGCCCTGCATTATGCATACGAGGGATGTATTCAGTATGTGAGCATAAATCTAAAAACAAGCAAAAACAAAGACAAGTCTAGTAATGGGAAATTCGGATCATTTAAATATAATTGTTATATATTAATTTACACGTAAAGTGTTATCTCGAAGACAAAACAATAATGCATCTACAAAATAACAGATGCTGCTTAATATTATATATATTTTTTAATTGTTAGATCACTTGTTATATAGTTATTTAAGTTAAAAGCTTAATGGTTGAGCATAATTAAAGCTGTCATCAGCACATTAATAGTAAATGGCTAAATTAAGCTAATGAAAATAAATTATTTAAATACTTTTACTACAATATTCTAAATGTCAGACAACATTAGCAAGTATGAAACCATTAGTCTGTCTTAAAAAAATATCCAACTGTCATGAAATGGTGCAGACTCATCCATCATTTCTGAGCACTAAATCTCCAAGTAGGGCTGTACGATATTGGAAAATTTGATATTGCGATATTTTATTTTTCTGCGATTAATTATTGCAACATGAAAACACGTTCAGAAGATGATTTGAATAGCTCTATTTGATGGTTTTCTGGCATAGGTCTCAAACTCGATTCCTGGAGGGCTGCAGCTCTGCAGTTTTCAACCCTAATCAAACACAGCTGATCCAATCAGTCAAGTTGTTCAAGACTACTTGAGACTTTTAACAGGGTTTCTGCTGGGACTTAAAAAAATCTTAAAACTCAAAATTCAAATTTTAGGCCTTAAAAAGTTTTGTTAACTGAAATATTGTGTTGTAGGTCTTAAATCTTTTTTAAACAGGTCTAAATATCTTTCCCCACGTATAGCTAGCCAATCTGGCTAAAACCCATACAATCATTAGCTATCCATTTCAATAAAACTTTAAACTTTTTATTTAAAAAAGTAATTTATCATAAGTTTAATGATTTTCCATACAATAACAAGTGCCCCATGTATTTACTGCTGAGGACACCGACATGGACAGACAGTTGCACATAATTTAGTTTATTATAGTTTTTAAAACTTTTAAAACATTTTTTCATTTTTTTTTTAGAAAAAAAAAGTGTATGGATGCATATAAAAGCTTGCTTGTTTTTACACAATACTTAAAATATTTTGCCAAGAAATAAAATCTGAAATATTAGTCTCTTATTGTGTTAAACTTATTAAAAATATTTTCTATTTGGGCCATTTGAAAAATTCCTTAACGTTTAGCCCTTTATGTGCCTAAAATTTTATTCATAATGATCTTAAAAAAAGTCAGATTTAACTCTGAAACCTGCAGAAACCGTGTTTAAGCATGTGTGAGTTGGAGGTGGTTGGAGATAAAATCTGCAGAGCTGTGGCCCTCCAGGAATTGAGTTTGAAACCACAGTTTTATGGGGAGTGTAATAGTATTCGGTTATAAAAATTAAATAATCACGAAGTAAGAAAGGCATTTTTTGCATTGTGATTATTTAATTTTTGTAACCGAATTATATTACACTCTATTGTTTTGTTTCTAGTCTTGAAACTTTGAAACTTGAAACTTTGTTTCTAGTCTTATTCTTTGTTTTGTTTTGTTTTTAGTCCAAATATCAAAAAAGTTCTTAAATCAAGTAAAATATTGTTTGTCTTTCAATGTCAAAAGAAATAAATCAAAATGAAGAGATTTTTTGTTTGTTTTAAGGAAATTATCTGCCATAGGGGTAAGTGAGATAATCTTGTTTTTGCTTTAAAATGTAGATGTGTGGACTAAAAACAAGAAAATAGTTTTTTTTGCATAAATCCCATATAAATACAGTGATTAAATACAATTCTGTACCTTTTGGTCAACGATAATTCAGACTGGATATTGTACATCTTTGCGATGTGACTATTGCGGATGCACACATTCCGATATCTATGCTGAAACGATATATTGTGTAGCCCAAGCAGTCATTTCATTGCCACTCTGGAAGGCGATTGGCCTCTGCTTAATCTTCAGCAGCTGATTGGCAGAATAACAGCAGCTATTCCACTAAGATTAAATACATGAACACTGCACATACATTAACATGCTACACTATTTCAATAGCTGAACGATTGAAATGTAGTTTCAAGATGATGTTGTTGAAATCTTCCAGTAAGATGATCATAAAATCATTTGTGTGTGTTTTTGGCTCAGCTATGTGGAGCGTGTTTCTGAGCTGCTGCGGCAGAAACTCAAGCAGGCTGATATCATGGTATTAAAACGTGGCACACTGGCTGAAAAACGACAGGAGGCACTGGAAGAACAGGCCAAGCTGGAGCCACGAATTGATCTGCTGGCTGCTCGCACCAAGGAGCTCCAGAAACTGGTAGAGTAACCCGTTATAATGATGTGTTTGTGGATCTGTTTAAGCTCAGGTTTATTATAAAACATTTGTTGTTAAATTCTAGCATGTACCATACACCCGTGCTTTGCGGCAATGTGTTACATATAAGCAATTAGATCAAAAGAGCAGAAACGGTTAAACTAATGTAGTTAAATGTCACGGTGGTCTGAAAACTAAATATAAAAAACCCTCCTCTTTATCTAACTATCTCTCTCTCTCTCTCTCTCTAACACACAGATTGAAGCTGACATTTCAAAAAGATACAACAACCGTCCTGTCAACCTCATGGGAGTTCATGTGTGACCAAGAAAGAGTATTTACAAACTGCACATATGCATCATTTCATAAATAAATGTTTTCTCATTTAAATCAGGTGGGTACTTGTTTGGGGTTATTCCTTATTTTATGGGGGGGAAAAATTGTTGCAATCACAGTGCCTTGAATATTCAAAGAAGTCAATAACTTATGCTTCCACTGCTGGCCTCATTTGTTTGAACTGCTGATTTCAGTAAATGAAAGTGGACAGTGTTTAAATATAAAAATGGCAACCCTAATTTATTTAAAGAAGAAAAAAAGACTTCGTTTTAAATTGAAACTAAAATCAAAGTGTACGTTTAACAGTAATAAGCTTTATGAAATGATAAATATTAGCCCATTTCACACAGTGATACCGGTAAATATATGGAAAATTTCCGGAATGACTTTACCGGTAAATTCAAAAAAGCGCCGTTGACACAGGCGAGGACGGTACGGAATTTTTCCGGAAAAAAACATTCACACATCCATTCCAAAATACCGGTAAATTCTGAACCAGAATGACCAGAAATGAGCTCTAAACGGCTGCGCTTGTATTTTTAAACATTTGACTACATCACAAACTCTGTGGATGGATCAGTATTGTGCACAACTTCGATGAAAACATATAGAAAAACACTTTTGCATGTCGAGATGTACATGATATGTGTGTGTGTGCTGGCGCTCATGGGCTGTTTCATGGGCATACGCAAAGCTTGAAGGTAAACAAACAACGTATCATAAGCATCTTATCGATAATTAATTACACGGTTGGAATTAAGATGAACATATAAACGTTATCTGACTAATTTCTTGCAGCTCAATGTGTCTGGAAAAATATTCAAAGGCTTTTATTTTCATAAACCGCGCGGACGTGATAGCGTCTGACTGTTCTGATTGGTTAAAGCAGACGTCTCACATCGGCACGTTCTAGACGTGGACGCGCTCTTTCCGGCAATCTTCCTTCTGCATTCACACAGCGCAGCATTCCAGCAAATTACCGGTAATGTTACAACTTCTCTTTACGGAAAATAGCCAGAATGAATTTACCGGTATTTTCAAAAAGGGCCAGTTCACACATACACAGCTTTTCGGAAAATTGACGGTAATTTTCTGGACAGGTGTGCATGTGTGTAAGGGGCTATTGCCTAAGTGAACTTGAAAATGTTGGTTTGTAGATGCTGCTTAATATATTTGGTTAACAGGTTTACAGTTGACCATGAATAAAGAGGTGGTCCAGAGTTTATTTTTAAGGCTTGTGCATACAAGATGCAAAGCAATGTGTGCTCATGCTTCACTTGTAAAAAAAAAAAAACGTTATTTTTTTTTCATACATCATATTTTGACTATATAATGCTATTTAGCCAAGATGAAAATGACTGTCATACTTCCTAGTTCATCCAAAAGCCCACCCTCAAGAGGCTCAGATTGATCAGCTAACATAATGTGCTAACATATTAACATAATCGGCTACACGTCACCAGAAAAAGCATCACACCTCTAATAGCACGCGCTGTGCCTCGGCTGTGTAAATACTGTCAGTGTAACTGTTAGTCGTATCAGTTTGAGTCTGAATCTAAAGAGGACAAAGCTGAACCCCACGCCTGCTCTCTAAAATAAAATCTGAACAGTGTCTTTCACATATATTCAGGTTATAAGCATGTGTAATAATATAAAACGTTGTCATATCTTTTGGACGCGCTGGTGAAGAGTGTAGGTGTTTACAGGGGTTTGATGGATAAATATGAACTTGTGGCTAAAATGTTAAAAGTTAATAACATTAACGTTAGACACTGCATTTGATTGATCCATTTTAACAAACACTTACAGGTTGTTGCTCACAATCCACAGCCTCTTCTATTATGGTTGGAGCTGCTCTTTCTTTGAGAGACTCTGGAAGCTCTCCTTTGTCAAATGCTAGCTATATATTTTTATAATTCTTTGGAACAGAATTAAAACTAAACTGTAAGCACTTTTTTGTGTCATGTCCTTTGAAAGCCCAAATAAAGAAACAGAATAAGCTCTGTCGAAATAGCGGTGTTTGGATTCCATTTTAGGCTATAACATTACAGTGTCTCAGGCCACGCCCTTTTGCTGCATGGGGTGTATGCGCATGGTGAATGCACGTAACCTGAAGCGAGTATTTTTTTTAGACCCCAACTTTGTTTGCTGTATTCTTTGCTAAGCTAACTCTGTAAAAGCCTATGTCTCAAAAGCCAAAGTTCATTGAACTTTGAGTGTATTACATTTAAAGATGTTGTTTATGTTCACACAGCTACATTACATATCAACTAAAAATGAAAATATTATATCAAAGTGGACCACCCCTTCAAAGCTGTTGTCAGTACAATAATAGTACAAAGCTTAATAAGGTAATAAAATGTAAGGTTATAATAAAAAAGGCTAAATGTCATAAAAGCAAAAAAATAGTAGTAGTAATAACAATGATAATAAATTGTTGAATTATGGAGGTAACAATCTCTGAGTTAACAATCTGAAATAAAGATTGCAAATGCATTTATTTTTAATTCATGTAGAAATTTTATTTTATTTTTTAGCTTTCAAAATTTTTTGATTATTACTAGAATATATATATATATATATATATATATATATATATATATATATATATATATATATATATATGACAGTTTTAAAACGAATGGTTTTATATTTAGTAATATTGTCTGACATTAAGCGTATTGTAGTAAAAGTATTTAAATAATTTATTTTCATTACCTTAATTTATCTGTTCACTATTACTGTACTGATGACAGCTTTAATCATGCTCAACCATAAAGCTGTTAACTGACGTAACTATATAACAATTAATCTAACAATTAAATATTTATGTATGTGTATTTATATATATATATATATATATATATATATATATATATATATATATATATATATATATATATATATATATATATGACGAAGCAGTGGCGCAGTAGGTAGTGCTGTCGCCTCACAGCAAAAAGGTCGTTGGGTCGAGCCTCAGCTCAGTTGGCGTTTCTGTGTGGAGTTAGCATGTTCTCCCTGCATTCGCGTGGGTTTCCTCCGGGTGCTCCGGTTTCCCCCACAGTCCAAAGACATGCGGTACAGTTAAATTGGGTAGGCTAAATTGTCCGTAGTGTATGAGTGTGTGTGTGTGTGTGAATGTGTGTGTGGATGTTTCCCAGAGATGGGTTGCGGCTGGAAGGGCATCCGCTGCGTAAAAACTTGCTGGAAAAGTTGGTGGTTCATTCTGCTGTGGCGACCCCGGATAAATAAAGACTAAGCAGACAAGAAAGTGAATGAATGAATGAATATGAATGTGTGTATGTATATATATATATATATATATATATATATATATATATATATATATATATATATATATATATATATATATATAAAATATTAAGCAGTAACTACAAACCGAAACCTTCGAGTTCAAACAGACTAAATGTATTATTTACCTTCGTAAAGCTTTTTACTGCTAAATGTATGCTTAAATTTTTGTTTGTTTAGAATAAAACAATGTTGGGAAACAAATTTGAGCTTTTTATCTATTCTGTTCTTTATTTAAAAAATATGGTTAAAATATAAATGAATTACTAATTTAATTTAATAATTTAAATTTAAAACAGAAACAGCATTTTTAAATTGTGATATATTTTTAAAAATATTTAATATTTTGGATCTGCAGCTTTCATAAGTGCAAAATATTGTGGAAAACCAGTGTACATACGAACGAGTTTCTATGTGTAATCCACCTAAAGAACACTTAGTCCAATAAAAGTCCAAGTTTCCTAACAACAATTATAATCAATTACACTGATACAGCATATAACTGTCATAGGAACTAAAGGAACCAAAGCATACATTTCCCCTGACGCTTCATCACTGTTATCTCAGCCTTGCCCTGGGGGCAGCTGGTTAAATCACATGACAGAAACACATTATGCTTACAAGATTGATCTAATGGACGTCATCTTTACAACCACGCGCATCTAAAGCAAAAAGCAGCGAAGCATTACATCTCGATTTCAGACATAAGTTGTTACTGCAGACTTTGCGTCGCTGCTCGTCGCAAGATAATAACTGTAGCACATTCTCACTTCATTGGTTTGCAAAATGCACACACATCCATTCTTTTCTTTGTCTGCCTCCTCCTCCTCTCCCCCACCACCGTCTCTGATGAAGCTATGATAAGTAGAGGTTTGCGCTCGGCCCAATCATTGCCTGTGCCATCAATCAGGCCAGACAGGCCCCTGTTTACTGACACAGAGCAGCCATTACAAAACACTTTGTTTTCTGCCCAGTCGACAACGGAATTAAAAACACAAAATGTCTGAGCGTTTATCAAACATTTTAGCGAAACATCATAGCCATGATGATGAAACAAAGAAGAAGAATTGTCAATTGTGCATCAAACTGAGCCCTAAAAGCTTTCCCGGCTTTCATTTGTCAAAAAAAAAAAAATCCCAGTCATCCCTGCAGCCGGCAGATGCTCGGAGGCGATGGCCAGGGTGCGACCCAGACTGCTGTGGCCCACAAGACTGAGGTTGCCAAGACAACTGGCCCAGCACCCCTGCTGTTGTCACTCAGTCATTGATTCTCTCCATCTCACCAGCTCTCCACATGCGGCTCGTATTGTTCTCTGTGGTCCTCGTTGAGGAGCCATTGAACACCATAATACACCTACCGACTCTCCCACGTCCATTTCAAAGTGTCACACATACACATATCCAACAAAACAAAACATCTAATACCAACAGCTGTGTTTTCAGCATTTAATAACCAAAAACTACAAACATAAAGCTGCTGTCGTATAGACCAAAGAACATCTTCAAATAAGAAATACATTGAAAATACAATGGTCACGCTCTAGAATTCTCCTCGCACACTTTTACGTCCTACATCTGTTAAATACAAAGTGTTTTTAAAAAACAAAACAAAAAAACAGACGTTCACATCAGAGACACATTAATATCTAAACAACTCGATATCTAAGCGTCGAATGTGCTCGTTGCAGCCAGAGGCCAACTTATCTGGAATTGCTCATTTGCATTTTCACATCAGTGTCGCCACAACCGTCAGCGCCCCAACGACTCACTGTGGCTTTCTTTGAAGAGTATTGTCAATGCACATCAATTTCATTAGAGTCCAGGACTTTTTTAATGGCCGAGTAACATCGAATAAGGCTATTTTAATGGAGAACACATACATGATATCCACTAACCGTACATATTAATTGCGGTCAGTCATATCTAAGTGAGACCTGGGGCTTGGTAGATTGAGATCTCTAGAATCGTATTGGCCCGAGAGCGATGGTTTCTTCCTTAACCTCTTGGCTTCGTTTTGTAGTTTCTGTCGGATGTAGCCCTTGATCTCGGCATCAGTTTTGCCAGGGAAGAAATACTGAACTGTTCCTGTATGGGAGTTATTTCAGGACATTAGTGATTATAGATTGTAAGTGTTAGTATTATATGAACGTTCAACTGTGATTGAAAAGAATCATACTCAGGATTGCCTGGACCTCTTCGGTGGGGAGGGCAGGTTTGGGTTGGCCCCTTTTATTGTACACCACGCCAGATATGGAGTGGGAAGCAAGGCATTCTCTCTCGTAAAGTCCACGGAGCAGGTCGTTGGTCAGTTTTTGGGCAGTGGTTCCTGTGTTACACCTCTCCAGAAGTTCGGGAGTAATAAACTGTGGGAGATTTAAAACAAACAAAAATATATTGTAACATACACGTATACATAATAAAGCATAGCCCTAAACGATAACACATAATATAATACTTAATAACCACAAGTTTAAATACTATTATGCATAAATAATAACACAGGAGCAGTAAATGATTCAAAATTTATTGTTTCTCCCCATTTATTTTCTCTGTTTGGAGAGGTCGCGTGGCTCTGGCGAGGATGGCTGGTTGATTGATTCACTCTGACAACCCGCATACAAAAAATGTATAATACCCTTGTTAACTTTACCAACTCTGATCGTAATTGACAATCTGAGTATGCTCAAACATCTTGCTTTAAAACAGTGTGACATTTTTACTAGAGATCGTAGAACAGGTGCGGAAAAACAGAAATCTCAGGCCGATCTTGACCTGGCTGTCATGGTGGATACATCAGACAAGTTAGCGGAATTAAAACATTGATAACTGAGCTTGGAAATAAACTGGACGGTATTGAAAAACCATTAAAGTATTATGATCTGTTAAGACTTTAGAAAACAACCTGACAGAAATTAAAAATGCAGTAACGGGCAATGAAAAAAAAATGCGATGTGGAGGAGCTTATGGCAGCGGGAAGCCAACTGGATAAAGCCAACACTTTCACCACTTCAGCATCTAAATGCCTGAATGTCCTGGAAGCAATGGTGAAAGATTTAGAAAAATCGCAGCAGAATCCTCCACTCTTCTGTCATCATGGGGGTGCAGAAGGCTTAAAACCGCTCATGGACTTCAAGTTTCAGGATAAGGAACTAGTATTTCGCTCAAGACGCAGAGATATTTCGAGTTTTGTTCAATTGTTATATTTATTTATTCATTCATTTTCTTTTCGGCTTAGTCTTTTTATTAATCAGGGGTCACCACAGCGGAATAAACCGCCAATTTATTCCGAATGTTTTACGCATCAGATGCCCTTCCAGCTGTAACCCATCACTGGGAAACACCCATACACCCACTTACAGATACACTACAGACATTTTAGCTTACCCAATTCACCTGTACCGCATGTCTTTGGACTTGTGGAGTAAAACCGGAGCACCCGGAGGAAACCCACGCAAACATGAGCAGAACATGCAAACTCCACAGAGAAATGCCAACTGACCCAGCCGAGGCTCGAACCAGTGACCTTTTTGCTGTGAGCTACCCACTGCGCCACAGCACTGCCAAACCAAGAGCTTACGGCACCTGGTATTCCAAGGCGATTTTTCAATCCAAGTACTAACCATGCCCAACCCCTCTTAGTTTCTGAGATTGGGTTCGCTCAGGGTGGAATGACCATAAGCTCAATTGTTAGAAAAAAAATGTTTTCTGGGTTTTCACCTATAATAATGGATAGAACAGTGGAGTGGAGACAAGAGTGCAAAGGGAGAGGAAAGGATAGGCAAAGGACCTCAAGCCGAGAACTGAATGCAGGTTACAGTGAGGACCTCAGTGTTGCGTGTCGACGCACTTAACCATTAGACTATTAGCAACGATAATGTTTAAATTTTATTTGATTAATTTCCATCATTTCAGTTACCCTTTACTATAATTTAATTTTCTTTTGCTCTAAATACCCTAGCATAATGAAAACACATTTAATGAACTTCATAAATAATGAGAAGTACATTTTTCTTCTTAAAATGGACCTCTTATGCCCCTTTATAAAAGGTGTAAAATAAGACTCTAATATCCCTAGAGCAGGGGTGTCCAAACTTGGAGGGCCAGTGTCCTGCTGAATTTAGCTCCAACACACCTGCCAGAAAGTTTCTAGTATATCTAGTAAAGCTTGATTAGCTGGTTCACGTGTGTTTGATAAAAAGCCTCATTCACACTAAAAGCGGCCGTTCATTTCAAGGAAGAGTGATCGATTTCCGGTGACCTACGTCTACGCAAGCGACCGTTGGCCACCAGGTGGGCATATCTAGCAACAAGACAGTTAAAAACCCTTTAACTTTCTTGAAAGTTTCTTGCGACTTTCTTGAGTGAAAGCCGATAGGAACACCAGTAGAGCTCACGTGATCCCTCTCAGCTCAGCTATATACCTACACTCACTGCGTTTGAAGCAGGTCGCCACCCAGAGTGACAGGCAGCTCCAAAGTGGCTGTAAAGGCTGATTTATACTTCTGCGTCAAACGCCGGCGTATGCTACGGCGCTGACGCACAGCCCTTCGCCGTGGCCGTCGCCGTCACTGACGTGCACCTATCAAAAAATGTAACTACATGTCACAACGACGCGTAGCGTAAGCTCTGTGATTGGTCGGCTTGGTAGCGCTGACGAGTCTGGGCGGGACCGAGAGCCGCGCGAATGGCGCGAGCGATTGTTTACAAGTGTGAAGTCCCGTGAAGGAGCCCCGGATGGAAAGTTTTGTTTTGTGTTTACCTCACAGTTAAAGTTGTTGCACGTCCGCCGGTTCAGACCGACAGAGACAGCGCGCAGAAGTATAAATGCACAGCTACACGCGTTGCATGCGCCGTGGGTTACGCCGGTCACTTGACGCAGAAGTATAAATCAGGCTTTTGTCTGAATGTGGCATAAGGCTGGAGCTACACTCTCCAGGACACCGGCCTTCCAGGACTGAATTTAGACACCCCTGCCATAGAGTGTGTGTATTTGAATTTTTAGATCAAAATACTCAACAAATAATGTTTTAGAGCTCTTTGAAAGTGCCCCCTTTAGGCTTTAAACCAAATTGTGACATTTTGGAGATCGTCAATTTAAATCCAAATGAGATTTTGTAAAGAGGGCAGAGTTAAAATGTCTATGCTTCAGCATTGCCATAGATTCAAAACAGCTGCTTCTCACTCAAGGCTGATTATGCTAATAAGGTAGAGATTGTCACTAGTGGGCAGGGCGTTCCCCCTCCAATGACATGTATAAAGGGAGAATGTCAAACAAAGTGTTTCTGTAGACTGTTTTGATAAAGTCTGATTATAACAAATAGAATTGATTCATTTTTACCATTAGAGACTGCCACACAACCGTTTAAACACCTTCTGAAAGTTATTTTTTCATAATAGACCCCCTTTAATGTTCCCATTTAAATTTATCTTATAAACACGTAAGGTATAAACGAATCTAGGTCATTAAAAAGTTACCCGACTAAATGTAATTAATATATTGATTTACACAGGTAAATAAGGATGGACTCTAATTGGCCGAATGTTTAAATTGTTTATCAACTAGAAACTGTTATTCTTTTCAATTCTGTACTGCTTTTTAAAATCCTATTACAATTATCATACTTAATATAAACAGGCCAAAACTCTTATAGTCTACCTCTGTGTAGAGTCCATCTCTGTGTGCATTCTGAGTGGCCTCATGAGGTTTCTGTGGTCCAGGACCCTGATTCAGCCATTGCCCATTGACAACAGCTGGAAGAGACCCTACATCTGCTATCACAGCCTCTGGCTCGCCAGGTGCTTGTGTTGTGCCTTGAGAAACAGGGGTCCCAGGAGAGATCCCGTTGTTCCCATTTGACCACACCTGGGTCTTCTCAATCAGCGTCTCCAAGTTTCTTGCTAGCTTTCCACATGCTGTAGGAAGAAGTGGAATGTGAAGATTGGATTCGTGCAGTTCAATACAACAAAACAAGTAACAAAAACAAACAATATTAACCTGTAAGGCACCTAAGTTGTTCCTTCATGTCTTCCATTTCTCTCTGCATACATAAGACCATCGCAATAAGCTCCTTCTTGGAATAGGACTGTAAATAATGAGCCTCCTGCCATCAAAGAAAAACGCACAACCTCATGTCTATCCACTATTTCAAGAAGCAAATGTCTTAAATACCCATTACAAGTCACTTTCATCATACCTCTGTCTCAGAAGTAGGAGGACTGTCAGTGTAGAGGTCTGCGGAAGAACAATCCAGCTCATTAACCTGTCATGACAAGAAAGAGTCCTAATATTTTGTACAAAGCCAGTTGTAATTGATAGGTTTTACAGCTTATTTTGGTTCTTAATTCTGACGGCATTTTAAAGCATGTAACAGGTCTTGAAAGTCAAAGTGTTGATGTTGTCTCTCACTTTTTAACCACTGGGATTGATGTTAACAATCTTTTTTTGTTGGGGGGAAAAACACATGAAATGCCTAATTACTACAATTTTTTAGAAAAGCAGCCGTGCAGTTATGTTTTAAAGTGCTAAAAGGCCGGGACACACCAAGCCAATGCCAAAAAACTAGCACCAACGAAAGCCAACTGTTTTGTCGCCATGCGTCAGCCGCATTTAGTTTTGTCGGGACCAAAAAGATGCACAAGAACACACCAAACAGACGACAGCCAACTGAACCAAAAGAGGATGTGTCTGCATACTCGCAGGTGGTGGTAATCGATTTCCTTGTTCCACGTAGGGAAACTGGAAAATGTGACACACACAAAGCAGCGTTTCATACCATTATCACAGATCTCAAATATGTCTGATAATCTAATATTCCATATCATTTGCAAATACCTGAGAAATGTAGTAAAAATAAGTCAGCTACTTTGTGTTTCCTCTTGACTTTTGCTTGGTTTCGTCACTTCAGTTTTATTTATTGCGCTCTGATTCGTTACTGAATAACCAATCAAAGTGATGGCCAATGCCTATTCTACATGCTGAACTGGGCCAACTTGATCCAAAGTTAACCTGACGTAAGGCGACGTGTGGAACACACCAAACAAACTACTTAGTCACTTGTTAATGTACCACACAATCATGTTGCACTACTTGTCCTCTTCAACCTTAATTACCTCATTTGGACAGTTTATTGCACAATATTGTTCTATCTTAGTTAAAGGTACTCGTTTAGCCTTCTGTTATGTGTAGAGTTAAGTATTTACAGTAAATGTACAGTTCGATTACCACTCCAGTATGTTGTGTATAGGAATAAAATAGCTCTTATGTTCAGTGTTTTGTTCATATTTATGATTTTTTTATTCATCTACTGTGAGAGGTGATGTTTCATCCACTCTATGTCCACAAATGTAGCGGAATATCAATAAAGCTAAACTTGAACTGACCAGACAGACAGCCCAACAGACAACTATTAGCTTGATGTGGCTCAGTCTTTAAAGAGATAGGGCCTTGTTCACCAAAAAAAAAAAAGTATTAATTTTCTGTTAATTAATCTCAGGCCATTTAAAATTTTTATCTTTAGGATATACAAGGATAAAATTATGGTCCTTGTTTTTCTAACTTCTGGTACAAAAAAAATCAATAAATTGTGTATATATATAATAATACCAATGCTTCCTGTAGCTAAATAATGGGTCTATGCAAGAAATCTAACATTATTTACCAAATTATTATCTTTGATTCACACTCTCTGCAAACAGAACTGAGCACATTCACATCAGTGTTAACCACAAGCATCCTGTTGCATAATGACGTATATGGGGGAGCAAACTCACACTTGAGTTGGTATTTTGATATAGATAACAATGTTCAGAATAAGCACAAGTACCTACAATTTTGATTGACAACACATGCTTCCTCCCTCTCTGTTGTTTACAAACACAGCCAGCTCATACAGAATACGGGGTTTGTCTCCACTCAAACATTATTATACAACCAGAAGCTTGTTCTCCTAAATGTTGTTAGGATGCTTAGGGCTGTTTGCCAACGCTTTGTATTAAAGGTAATAATGATGTTCATCATGTTAAGTTTTTTTTCCACTGATTGGTCATTTTTCTTTATAAGACCTCATCTGAAGCCATTTCTGATAGATTGGTTTTGCCTGTATATGTTTCCTTTTACTCTTAAAGATTCTATAGCCATGGGCCTGTATTTCATTAATCACCAAATGCCATGATTTTAGATAAAAAAAGGTTCTACTCAAGAAAAAAAATTAACATCTTCTTAATGGAAAGGTTAACATTGTTATTCATACATTGTTTTTACCATCCAAAGTAGTTTCCACTGAAATATCAAAATCTGTTACTACAATAACACTGTCGACCTACCTGTTGAAATAAAGAGTACAAATGAATGCAGCTTAGCCTATATCCAAGCCTGACTACTCGAAAAAGCACTCAAGCCCCAGCAAAGGCATAGAAGTTTAGAAGAAAAATCATCTTATTCTGGTAGGCTGCTGCCAAAAAGCAATGCTTTTAAACTTGAAAACAAATGATGATGTTTTGCATACTGGTGTTTTCCATTGAGGAAAGTACCATGGTGCACTTTTATAACGTCAAATTAATTTGAAAAGAAGAAATGCTTTCAAACTTTCTGAAGTTTCACATTTCAAAACTTTCAATTCGCTGGTGAGCTTGTACTCGGTCGGAAATGTGCGGGGGATTGATGTGTGCAGAACGCCTGATGAGGTTTAGATCAAATGGTGTATTGTACCATGCTTTACCCCATTGTTCTCTATTTGCGGCCAGGCATGGCCGCCTGCCCTGCCTCACACCACTGCTGCAGGATAGAAAAGCGTTGAGACAACCGCTTTACAATGCGAAAAGTGCAGTAGAAAACCAACAACTGTACATTTCGAAAGAAATCGTTTAATTAAATGATATAAATAAGCGACGCGGAACAATTGTAAAGATCAAAACAGAAAGGTTTTGCAGTCCGTCTGCGCATCCAAAGCGCATCAAAAACATCGATCAAACAGTGATAACGAAGAAAAGCCCAAACCTTCACGTCCAACTTCTGAAGCCCGGCTTCGGATGAGATATTTTCTTCTGCTTTCTCTTTGGAGAGATACATTTTCCTTCTTTTCTGTGCACCGTTCTGTTTGACAGTCGGGTTGACATGATACAAATTATTCTTTTGGGATCAAACATATGCCATTAACAGTTACAAACAAACAATGAGACATTAAACACCCAAAACACATTTCCATCGATCATCTTACACTGTAGCAGTCCGGTTTTTGTTCCTCTTCTTCGTCCTCTTCATTTTCGTAGTCAAGAATTCGCTGCGCTTTTGTTTTCCTTCTCATTTCTCTCCCATTATTTTATTTGCGAGCGAGAAAAAGAGGCTCCACTCTGCATAATGCAGTTGCGCTGAATTAGACTAAACACTATTCCTCTTCCTGAGATTTACAAGCTACACGTCTACTAAAGATACCGACAACTATGTTGCCCGCGATTATTCTACTTCAGCTCAAATACTTGAGAGGATCCATGGAAGGACAGCACTTTACCGAGAAATGACAGGGAACACATTTGAGGCTAACGCACCGTAGCGTAACGTGGCACGAGCTTGAGTCCCGTCTACATTCAATCTAACGGCAGATCCTCACAACAGGAAATCCCTTGCAAAAAAATTTACCATGGTAACCCGAGTTTCCGCTAATATACCATAGTTACTGTGGTAACAACTCGTAATAAATCAATATAGATTATCTTTTAAACAGTTCAAGAAGCTCATTTTCATATTGAATTTATTCAAATCTTTATTTATTTTTAATCGCACTGGTGCCAAATAGCCACAAGTTACCACAATGTAATTGTAGTAACAGCAACTGCATTAATTATAGTAACGCAGACTGCTTCAGCGGAAACTATAGTTACTATGGTAAATATTTACAAGTGACACTCTTAAACTCAAGCTTCTGTTCGACGTGTAAAACGATGCGAACGAGCTCAAAAACAAAGGAGTATTTCCAATGAAAGCCGTATTTACATGTTTACCGAGTATTAATCTGTCATTTGAGCAAGTTAGATTCGTCATGCATTTTTAATAATGGTTTCCTGAGGCGTCAGCAAATAATGTGTAAGAGAAATAAATAAGGTAAGGAGCAATTTTTTTGGTTTCAGCACACCAAATGAGTATAAGATTTTCCCAAAAAAATAGTTACTATAAATATGTTTAAATTCATTACAGCCAATATTTTAAGAAATTGCCCTGCTGAAAAAAATGCTTAAACCAGCCTAGGCTTGCATAAAGGGGTTTTGGTCATTTCCAGGCTGGTTTTTGGTCTTAGCTGGTCAGGCTGGGAGATGACCAGCTAAAATCAGCCATGTACAACTTGAACCAGGCTGCTTAAGCTTGTTTTAAATTGTCTTTTTTTTTTTTTTTTTTTTTTTTGACAGGCCAGCTAAGACCAGGCTGAAAATGGCTGGAAACCAGCCTGGACATGGCCTAAACACCTCTAAAACACAGGCTGGTTCACTAGCTAAAGCCAGCCAACTAGCCTAGGCTGGTTTAAACTGTTTTTTTCAGCAGGGTGAATGGCTTGTCATGGTTACATGATCAATTATTGTGGAAATTGACTACTCCCTTTCTTTACTCTCATCGGTATCATTGTTAGTTATTACATCAAATCAAAGTAAACCCTGCATGTCTGTGTTAAGCTGAATTCAGGACAGGAAGCAGAGAGCTGGGTATTCTGGCCAGACAATATGGTGTTTTTTAAGGTATGGTTTTCACGTTTGTTACGCCAAACACTTAAGGGCCACTTTATTGGACAAATAAGCTCCTTACAGTAAATAATCAGCTGATGAAATGGCATGTTGACATCAAGACAATCTGCTCAAATTCAAACTGAGAAAGAAAGAAAAGAAAAGAAAAAAGGTTAATAAAGTCTGAAAGTCTTGTTGTGTTAAGGATGAAAACATCCTCTTCTTTTGCATAAATGCATTCAACCTCAGTCTTTATCAAAACTACTAAATTGTTTAGAAATTCAGGATTTTAACTGATTTTCAGGATTTTAACACACAAAATGACGTATTTTCAATATGGAAAGTAATTGTAAACTGGATTTTTTTTACCTTTTATCACAGTCTTGGACATGTGAAACAACATTGCCTTTGAGGGACTGTTTTTTATTAATTTAAATTTTTTTTACCTAATTTACTGTTGGTGGCAGTTTTTTCATTATTTAAAACTTAAGACTTAAAATTTAAGACTTATTACAGTCCTGCATTTTTAATATACAATACACTTTTCCATTCAATTAGTGATTTTACTGTAATTTCCAAACATAAGAAACCAAGATTCTCATAGGAATTATACAATGTGTTTTAAAGAAGAACGTTAGCATACATTGATTGATATGGGTATGGAAAAAACAGTAACGCTATTTATGTCAACTGCAGTCACATAGGCTGATTTCCAAGGATGGTGTTTCCTAGAACAAAGACATTCATTGAAATGTTATTGGACTGATCCAGTGATAATCAAAGGGGAGCTTCACAACTTGAATGGCAGCAAATGTTTACTGCCTCCCAATGACATTTCCAACATGTTTCTTCAGTAATCAATTGCTATACTTTCTGCTTTTCTGCACTATGTTTCTGAACAACAGTTTCTTTTTATTATAAGGCAGAGTTCATAATTTGAGAGTTCAGACATACTTACATATTCACTTTGACTGGCAAGAAAAACTGCAGTGACGCAGTGCTCTAATATGGCTATTATTCTTAATTTTTCACATTTATAGCGTGCCGAGTTCTTTCAGGACAAGAAAAACTTTAGTTATGTAAGGCTAAAGCTTTTTAGTTTAGCGTTTATATAATCATTTACTATTCCATATTCACCATCTAGATTCTATTTCCTGATTTGATGGAAATTAAATGAAACCATATTTGTTGAAAATCTACAGATTCTGTTTGCTACACAACCGTATGAAAATGAAAAGCTGAAGGACTTTTGACAAATGCTAAATCAATGTTGTAAAACTTAAGCGTATTTTACCTTTATTTACCAGATTTTAACAGGTTTTAAGAAAGAATGACGGAATGTTATCAGTGGATAGTTACAGTATTGAACTCAATGCACAAGTGACCTCTGGCCTGTCAAACACGTTTATTGAGCGCCATCTAGTGGCGGTAAGTCACAAAATTTTCAGGAAGTTTGTCATGGCATACGTTTTTAATAAATAATAATCATGACAACAAACAGTTCGACAATAATAATAGTCAGATATTTGTTTTGAGCGACACCTTAGCATATGATGATTCCTGAAGCACCATGTAATGGCTGCTAAAAATTCAGCCTAAATCACAGGAATATGTTACGTTACACAGTATATTCACACAGCAATCTTAAACTGAAATAATATATAAAATGTGTACACATGAAAAAGTTTTTATTTTAAAATAACAACTTAATATTTACTTTGAACAATAACACCAGTTTTTAGAGTTTTTTGTTTAAATTCCTATTTGTATTAGTTTAGTTGTATTTGTTTACAGAAAATAAAATTGTGTTTTTTGTATTTTCACAGAACATCTGTAGAAATGTTTACATTTACAACAAAAAAAATTGTAGATATTATTTTATTTTATTTTGTAGCCAAACTTAGATCAAACTAATTTCAAAGATAAAAATTGAGTAGATATTTTCAATTTGCTTTTCAGACTTCAAACATACAAATGGACTAATGCATGAACATGAAAGTCAGTGTTAAAATAATAACTTTTACAGTCGCATCATTGAACTAGCTCTACTACAGGTTCATTTTCCGTTACAGTCTTCTTTCTGTCTGCAGTACATTTTCTGTCAGTATGTTCACCTGGTTGCTGTATTTATTAAGTGGAATAAAATTGGCATATGTCACAAACCACAATTGCCATTTCCTTTCATATGAACATATTCAGGTTTATGTGCAGTAACTTAATCATTGGTCATTTACATGCAGATTTGCTACACACATAACTGTATATGTTGTGCAATATGACTTCACTTGTTGTTCATAGCTATATTGTACTAAAGAACTACTGTGTCAAGGTGCGAATTATAGGTGGTTTGTGGTTTGACCCCCTAATTAACGCTTGATCCCCCCTGAAGGACTTAAAAACAAAATGTTATGTAATGTGTATTTATTGTGTATGGCCATACATCCAAAGCACTTCACAGTTATGAGGGGGGTCTCCTCACACCACCACCAATGTGCAGAATCCACTTGGATGATGCGACGGACAACAGCGCCAGTGCACTCACCACACACCAGCTATTGGGGGAGTGGAGAGACAGTGATAGAGCCTATTCAGTGGATGGGGATGATTGGGAGGCCATGATCATATGGGCCGATTGCGGGTTACACCCCTGCTCTTTACGAGAAGTGCCATGGAATTTTTAATGACCACAGAGATTCAGAACCTCAGTTTCACGTCGCATCCAAAAGACAGCGCCCACTGACAGTGTAGTGTCCCCTTCACTTTACTGGGGCATTAGGACCACAGACCACAGGTCGAGCGCCCCCTGCTGGCCTCTCTAACACCAATTCCAACAGCAACCTAGTTTTCCCATGTGGTCTCCCATCCAGGTACTGACCAGGCTCAGCCCTGCTTAGCTTCAGTGAGTAACCGGTCTTGGGCTGCAGGTTGATATGGCTGTGGCATAACACAAGAAGTGTATTTCTTACTTACTTTAATGGTAGGAAATAGCTTTCTCTGATCTCTGATCTCTATCTTAAATATTAATAATTAAAAATGTATAATATAAATAAACATTTAACCCACTTTATAATTGTTTATTTCATTGTGAATGCATAATTGCACCAATCAAAGCTGATAAAAGTATCACTCAACAGTCTGAAACTGGCAGATATAGTGCACCGACAAATATTTTAAGTATTCACATAACACTTTTCTTGTAAAATTGGTGTTTACATCTGCATGTAGTGTTAAAAAAGAACAATTAAACAAATAATTTGCATAGTTTGACCTTCAGTAACCTCTAAAATACTCACTAAATATCCCTGAAAACACTGATAATGTATACATTTTATTAATAAATAAGATGTAATTTAAATACATTCATAAATTTGTTTCACTGAAGCATGCATTACCAAACTACCAAAAAATTTACCCCTCTTGCTCATCAATATGAGTCGCACACTGTTTGTTTTCCAGCACCATTAATCTTAATTTCGTTATATACAGAAAATTTATATTATTTTAATATACTAGAGTAAAGGCTTTCAATTCAAGTTCATATAAAAATTCATATAAAATGCTTGACAGCTAGTCTATTTGATGCATTACTTTTTTAAGCGATGTTTAATAGTTGTCAACTAAGACAACCCCACCCCATCCAGAGACTGAGGTACTCAGGGATAGTCTTATCCACCCCAGCAGCCTTGCACTACCTCTACCGCATCATGTGGAGGTCGGGAACAGTGCTGTGCACCCAACTACAGTGGGACTACACTTCTCAGCATCCAAGAGGATGCAAGGATACTGGAAAGTATAGAGCAATGTGGTTTTCATCTTGGCCGTGGAACACTGGACCAGCTCTCTAGGGTGCTCGAGGGTTTGTGAAAGTTCACCTGTCCATTTCACAGTTGCTTTGTTGACTTTATGGTGTACAAGAC